GACCCGAAACAACAATTTGTTATTTACACAAAGATTTGCTTTGAATGGGAATTGAACTCGCTACACATTGCGGGGCAGCCAGTTGCCGCGCAACGTGTAGCATATAAGAAAATCTTTGTGTATGTATATATATATATATATGATACGGGCATGAGGGCACTCTGCCGGCACGGGCCCCGTGTGCCCTTATGGTAAAGACGACACTGCCTCCACATAAGAGGGATATAGGTCTGGCATAAATCCTACATAATAGATTTGCTCAATTCACGAAAAGCTTGAGAATTTCATGCGATGTGGGCAACTCAATTCGACGAACATTTCACTATTTTGTGACCCGTATTTGACCAAATCGGTCCAAAGGCATCGCTCCAATCTAGCTAATGACTTGTCATTTAGAACATTAAGGGATGATTTTCAACCATTAGTTAACTCGTAACTGTACAATAAAATTCACATTTGATTTATTATGGAACGAATTTGTTTGAGAATTGTAAATATTCAAAGTTATTCCTCAGTTAAAATTTATCTCGCGTTGGAAAATTTGGCCCTTAATCGTATGTCGGAGGTCCAATTCCCACTAACGAAAAAAAAATTAATAGAATAATGTAAAAAACACTCACCGGATTGATGATTGCAGCCATTATGACTTCGATATTATTTCTTGATCTCACAAATTAACTGACGATTGGTTTCCAACACCCGTTAGGTTCTACTGTCGAGTAACGAATGCTCTGTACCCCCAAACAATCCCTCTTTTATACTTAGACTTCAATTGACTCCTGGACATTCCACCGCCGAAATATACGTCAACCAAAATCTAGATCATTCATTCTTTGAAGCTGGGAATTCCCTAAATGTCTATTATGAAATTGTGTCGAAACAGGATGCCGACTCAGATACAATTGGGATGACGCCGCGCCGGGGTGTGAGTGTGACAATAAAATCTGTTCAGTCCGTCAATTTAGATGTTGCAAAATATTAGATTAAGACACGTATTTGTTTATTTTGTCGGTCGTATTTATAATAAAACAAGTCTTTTTGTTGGATTTTTTTAAGGGGGAAAATCATCGAATGACTGCTCCCGCCTGGGTGAGGCGGGAGGGAGTGTTAGACTCTTATTGACTAAAAACCACCCCGTTCCTTCTCCTGCACGTCAAGCCGGAGCCCCGGTTACCTGTTAGGTTCTCCGCGACTCCGAAACTTCATTTGTTAAGGAACGTTATACACTGTAGAACGTCACGCTACGATTAATGGGTGCCTAGCAGAGCGGATGACACCGCGCGGGAGCAGCTAGAATTTTTTTAAACCGACTTAATATAATAGGTCGCACGTATGTATGTATGTTTGTGCGGGGTTATCTCCCGATTAGTTGAACCGATTTTTATGCGGTTTTAAAAAATGTTTATTACATTTAGGAGAAGGTTTTCGTTTATTAATTAATCCACTTCAAAAAGGAGGGGTTGCAGGCGGTATTTTTTTTAATGTAGTTTATAGTTGAAAAGATTTTTTTATAATATAAGAATGTTTGTATTGTAACTTTCGTGAGACATAATAAATAAATTATTATGTTTTCGGCTTACTCACGTTATAACTTAACGAGGAACTCGACAGTAGCAGCGCGACAGTCGCCGCGTCGCGGGTCGCGAAATGCTGCTCATGAATATGAGCCTCTAGCATGGCTTGAAACTAGTCGAGTTCCTCGTCAAATTATTACATGAATAAGCCGAAAACATAATAATGTAATATAAGAATGTGTTTGTTTGTCTGAACGCGCTAATCTCAAGAGATAGGTACCTACTGGTTCGAATTGAAAAAATATGTTTTTATTGGATACTTTATGTATCAACTAAGGCTATATATAGGCTATAAAACACCACACTACGCTCAGTACAGTTCAAATCGTAAAGTCACGCGATATGTCAAATCAATATATCGTCGAAAGTATTTGATTCCGTAGGAAAAGAAAAAAATACTTGTGTAATGTTTTAAAATAATCTACCAGACGGACAATGAAACAATTTACATGCACCCTAGTCCTGGTAATTCCTAAGTACTCAGTGTGAATCTTATTTCGGCATTTCTTCTCAGAAGTACGTACCTTGTCTCATGGGAACTCCCAATTCGTAAGTGTCCAAAAATGTCAGCGTCAATTACAATTCATTAAAATGAATAATACAAAAGACCTCAGGTTAAAGGGTCGCAATTATCTTATTAGTATTGGCCATACCGAGCCAGCAGCATGCAGCGTATTAGAGTACAATAGGGTAGATGACTAAGTTTTATTTCAATGTCCGTCTGGTAGATTATTTCAAAACATTAGGCAAGATTTATTTATATTACAGAAACAAATACTTTCGAAGATATATTGGTTTGAAACATCGCGTGACGTCATTGCTGTGTACGTTTTATACGTAGAAATGACGTAGCTAGCTCCCACTCCTAAACTTTCATTACCTAACTGATGGACTAAATATTTTTTTTTTAATTGTCAATCCCAGAGCCGTCCTTGACTGCGTTTGCATTTTTTTACGATGCACACCCACTATACTAGCAAATTCTCGTGTATCGTGGTTGCATTTACAAACATACAAGTTCACTATTTCACATACAAATATTTCACAATCTCAGACCCGAAATAACAATTTGTAGATTACACAGAAATTTGCTTTATGCGGCAATCGCATCCGCGGGTGTGTGTCCGTCGTAGAAAATGTCGGTCTTACGGGGCCCCTTGGGCACGGGCCCCAAATGCCCTTATGATAAAGCCGGTACTGTTCATATCCCGTCATCATCCCTATTTCGTTAAGCGGGGCGCGTGACTCACTTATTATTTGTGAAAGCGATGAAGAATACAGATAAGGAATTACATTAAATAAGCAAAAATAAGCAAATTTCCCAAACCTATAAGATTTTCCTAGATAGTACGTACTACGGAGTGGACTTTTGGTTTCAAATCCAGTATAGAGGATCCGATGAATTTATAGAAAGATCATATAAGGCGGGACCGTAATAAACTGTATTAAGTGTGGGAGAGCCATGCTTCGGCACGAATGGACCGGCTCGACCGGAGATAGTCGAGAGCGAGTGATACCACGGCTTCACAGAAGACCGCCGGCCGGTCGGGAGGGGAGTAATTGGGCCGCCGGTTGCCGGAGGCCCAATCACTCCCCCCCCCCCGTTTCCCCAATCCCTGAATCCCCAACAATCGTCAAATTCCTAACCCAGAAGGCTGGTAACGCACTTGTAACGCTTGTGGTATTCTAGGTGTCCATGGGCAACGCCGATTGCTTACCATCCGGTGATCCGTCTGCTCGTTTACCGGCTTATGACATAAATAACTGGTTCCAACCTATTCACTCGGGCCTTGAAGATACCACAAGGAAACACAGACTCTGGCAAAGAATTCCACTCCTTAGCAGTACGCACAAGGAAGGTTGAAATCTAACATGAATCGGTGATGCTTCGCCATAGGACATATTAATGTACTTACGATACTAAAACCAAAATCACTTTTTCTTTTACTGGCTGATCTCTAGAATGGGTGGATCGATTTTGACAGATCTTTAATTGACAGGTAGCTGATGTACTAATGATCAATACACAGCACAATAGTCGTGATAATTAGTGTTTCAATTTATTATTTACATTATGTATTTATAGTATTTTAAACTGTCGAACACCAAGCGGTCACCGGTGACCGCGACCTATTGTTCTTTAATTGTGTCTATAAAACCGGTACTCGACGAGTTAAGTTAACATTGACTACAATGTTAACTACCTCTATAATATCTACTAAGATATTATAGTATTATTGTATTTTAATATGGGCCTTCGTTGCCTGATATAAATGATAAATAAATAAAAAAAATAAATAAAATAATGAGTACCATAGGCTACTTTTATTTTGAAATATTAAAGCAAAAATATGTTTAGTTTTGTCCTAAAATTCATATTCTACGCGAACGAAGTCAGTTGTAAATAAACGCAAATAGTTAATGTTGCAATGTGGAGCGATGAGGGAGACGTGTTGTTGTTAGGAATAACTTTAATTAGGTGTCTTAATAACTAAGTTACACTACTTACTTATAGGGCGAGGTGTCACACACACTACAATATTTTGTAAAGTAATTTTAATTTAAACATAATTTAAAGTGCCTACTCCAATATTAATACCGCGCTGAAATCTTCGTCATTCTTCGGCAACTGCCGTATTCCCGAGCGTCGGATGATATGTACATATATAGAGGACTTAAGTACCTTTTCTTTAAGTACCTCTATAATATTTTAGTAGAATTATGTGTTTTTGACTGCCGCATTGGCCAAGTGGTCACAAGTGCGACTGCCGGGCAAAGGGTCTCGGGTTTCGATTCCCAGGTCGGGCAAAGTATTATTGGGATTAAAAAAAATCTATGGCAATAGGCTCACCCCCTATTACATGGGACTCATAACATAAAATAGTGAAAAGTGGGTGTTACATTGTACAGTGGCATTAAGTGCTGTAATATGCACCTCTGCCTATCCCTTCGGGGATTAAAGGCGTGATGTTATGTTAAATTTGCATGTAGTAAAAAGCGGTTATTTTAATATTACAAACAGACACTCGAATTTTATTTATCTATTACTAGCTTCTGCCCGCGACTTCGTACGCGTAATCCCATTTTTTCCCGTCCCCGTTCGTGATTTTCGATAAAAAAATTAGAAAAAAAATTTTGGTCAAAAAGTATCTAAGTAAGTCTCCTGGCTTTAAGCTACCTCCCTACCAATTTTCAGCCAAATCTATTCTGCCGATCTTGAGTTATAAGTGGTGTAACTAACACGACTTTCTTTTATATATATAAGATTAGATTAGGTTCAAGGGGAGACCATAGAAGAAACACCAAAGAAGCTTATAATACTTTAATATTAAACATCAAAATAAGCATAACACAAAACAAAGAAGGTTACATTAAGCCAGTACGGTGATTCTTGAAGAAATCAGATTTCCAGCATCTCTTCGGAATTCAATAGGGACCTGGAAACAAAAAATATTATTTTTTAATTGATTATTAACTAAAATAACACAAATAAATTCCCATTCCCAGATTCTTTTCAAAAATTCCATCCAAAGGTTGTCTGGAAGAAATCGCCGCGTGTGATAAGATTTTATTATTATATTTATTTATGTTCATATTTGAAATATGTTAGTATAATCTTCTATTTTCTCAATTAAATCGTTGCTTGCTTCTTGCTCCTACCATTCACTCTTCTCTGCATCACCCAAAGGTCAGACTGGGAGAAAATGCCTGCGGCATTAAGTCCACCTTGTGTACACTTTGTGCATGAAGCGTTAATAAATAAATAAAAATAAGACCGCCCATTGTACTCAAATTACTTTTTTTCTGTGTGTGCAATAAAGTATAAATAAATAAACAAATAAATATATTTTTTGTCGTGGTGGCCCGGAGGTTTAAGACGCCCACTTCTCATGCATGAGGGTGCGGGTTCGAAACCTACCAACGGCAAGTACCAATGTGACTTTTTCCGAGTTATATGTACTTTCTAAGATTATTTAGACACCACTGACAAACGGTGAAGGAAAAACATCGTGAGGAAACCTGGGCTTATAATTTCTAATTATAAGTTTGAAATCGCCAACCCGCATTGAGCAAGCGTGGTGATTAATGCTCTAACCTTCTCCGTGTGAGAAGAGGCTTTGCTCAGCAGTGGGCATTTATAGGCTGTTGATGATGAAATAAACAAATAAATATATTTATACAATTTTTAGTATGACTAATACAATCGATCTCTTAGACTGGATTTAGGTGTTGCATTGTTCTCACACAATCGAACTAACAAAACTATGTAACTAGAGAATTGTATTGTGAACTTGATTGGAAAAGAGTAACCTATGGAGCTTCTTGCTCGTTCTTCTACATAGGAATGAGCAACTAGCTTCACTTCTTGTTGTTGACGTTCAAAAGTGCCATCCACGGTCTAATTGAAATAAATGATTTTGACTTTGACTTTGTAGTAAAAAAAGAAGAAAAATTTAACTCAAAAAAGTATTTTTGTTCAACTTCATTTTACATCAGCCTCAAGACGTCCACAGCTGAACATACTTATTTATTTATTATTATTTATACTGAATCCTCTGAAGATTATCATATTTTCAGTTGTCAGCTGGGTAAATTCAAGCTACTTATTCACAACTCTCTTTTATACACAACAACAGATTTTATTTTGTAAACAACTTTGGAAAAGGAGGAGACGGCATCCCAGTCCCCCTCGTTCCATAGTTTATAACACAAACAGAAGCTAGTGGATTTGTAAAGTTTCCTTAATTATGTGATATCCAATATATATATATATATTATCTACTAGCGACCCGCCCCGGCTTCGCACCGGTACAATATGCATGTATTATACGTATAAACCTTCCTTAACAATCACTCTATCTATTAAAAAAACCGTATCAAAACCCGTTGCGTAGTTTTAAAGATCTAAGCATACATAGGGACAGACAGACGGCGGATAGCGACTTTGTTTTATACTATGTAGTGATATCCGTTTATTACGCTTACCTGGAACTTCGCAGCCGCATGGTGATGGTGGTCCACACTGAAACATGTGAATTTTATTATTAACTTTATAAACATACACTTTTTTTAAAGGGGGGAAAATCATCGAATGACTGCTCCCGCCTGGGTGAGGCGGGAGGGTCAGACTCTTACTGACTAAAAACCACCCCGTTCCTTCTCTTGCACGTCGAGCCGGAGCCCCGGTTACCCGTTAGGTTCTCCGCGACAATTATGGGACAGCGCGTACGCAGTCCCCACTACCAAAAATAACGCGTCCGAGTTATGTGGAACATTAGGGATAATCGCAGGGGTCTACCCTAGTGCAATGAGAGGACCTCGCCCTGGGGGAACCACCTTCATGATCACGGTGTCCCCTACGCCAGGTAAGTATAAACATACCCTAGCTTAATAATACAGTAGCCGCCATTACTTTGCTCCAAGGCCGGTAATGTACTTATACCTATGTGTTGCGAGTGTCCATGGGCGCCACTCATAGCTTACCATCAGGTGATCCGTCTGCTCGCTTGCCGCCCTATTATAAATACAGTTGTCACAACTTACCGGGTGTTCAGGCGCTTCGAAGTCTATTTGGAATATAATAGCGTCGCCGTCCACCATGACGTGAGTGATTCTCTGTATCGGAATCCGATGAGTAAACTCGCAGACTTGTTGTTCGTTCAACAACACCTGGGGGATAGTGGAATTAGTATTGTATATTACTATAAACGAAGTATCCAACACAAAATGAAGTACTTCAGAGCCAAGAGACTCTTTATCATCATCATCAACAGCCTATAAGAGGCCACTGCTTACACGGAGAAGGTTTGAACATTAACCACCACGCTTGCTCATTGCGGGTTGGCGATTTCAAACTTATAATCAGAAATTTAAGCCCAGGTTTCATCACTATGTTTTCCTTCACCGTTTGTCAGTACCTAGTGTCTGAATAATCTTAGAAAGTATATATAACTTGGAATAAGTCACATTGGTACTTGCCGTTGGTAGGTTTCGAATTCGACCTTATGCATGAGTAGCGAGCGTCTTAAACCTCCGGGCCGCCATAATGACGACTCTTCAGCTTTAGAAAAAGTTACATGTATGTATGTACAGACAGGGAAACTAATTGATATGCATGAAGAAAACAAAGATTGGTTTATTACAGAGTCCAAATTACTTTGATGACTGTACATAGTATGTCCCAACCGATTTCGATCATGATGACAAGTGTTACTAGACTAGCCCACTACACAGGAGATATTATAGTACACAAGTGTGCGCAAACACAGGTACACTCTCTGTCCCCTAACTTTCTGAACTCGATGGGACGACAGACTGACACAACGAGAGAGAGAAACCGGCTTTACGTGCTTTCGGAGGCACGGGGTCGAAATACCGACAACTTCCTGCCTCCGAGCTAATAATAATACTTATTTTCACAAAATATGTCAAAAATGTGGAAGAGCCATGCTTCGGCACGAATGGGCTGGCTCGACCGGAGTGATACCGTAATGCCTCACAGAAAACTGACGTGAAACAACGCTTGCGTTGTGTTTCCCTAGTCCCCGTCTCCCGAATTCCCGAATCCTCCACAATCCTCAAATTCCCAATTCCCAAAAGGCCGGTAACATGGGCGGCGCCGATTGCTTACCATGTGTTGATTCGTCTGCTCGTTTACCGGCTTATGCGATAAAAAAAATATCACTTTTTGGCCGGCACGGGCATCGAACCAGCAACACGTTGTCCAGCAGTCGGTCACCGCGACAACTGTACATAATATTAATATTTACAACGTACCTTAAAAGAATTTTGGTAGCAATAAATGACAACTTCGAATGGTGACCCACTGCTGAGCGGCAACGGACCCTGCGTCTCTTCAGGGCCCCACGCCGAGCCAGCGAAATGGTTGCGAACTATAGCCCCCTGGTAGAAACGAGGGTTAAAATGGAAGGCTATGTCTTCGTCAGGATACTGTTTCGGACCACATTGGAGGTTTACCGCGAACCTGGGGACAAAATACATACATACATAACATCACGCCTTTTATCCCCGATATGGTAGGCAGAGGGGCATATTACGGCACTTAATGCCACTGTACAATGTAACACCCACTTTTCACTATTTATGTTATGAGTCCCATGTAATAGGGGGTGATCATATTGCCATATACCGGGCACAATTCCAGACTCCGTACTACTACTGAGATTTTTTGAAAAAACCCAGTAATATTTTGTTCGACCCGGGAATCGAACCCGAGACCCCTTGCCCGGCAGTCGCAGTTGCGACCACTCGGCCAACGAGGCAGTCAAAACTGTCAAAACTGGTGACAAAATGGTGGCTTAAAATCATCATCATCAGCTACCGACAGACCACTACTAGGACTGGGCATCCTATAAATCTTACTGATATTGAATGGGAACGATTGTGAGTTTGTGTGTCTGTTTGTTACTTATATATATAATAATGCGTTCAGCGCAGTGTTGGGGCTATCCCGTCGTTGTAGCGCGTCGGGAATGTTCATGGAGGCGCACACTGACGGCTTTCATGCGACTATGCGTAAGCGAGCTGGCGCTCTCGTACGCAGAGTACGGGCTAGTTCCAACAATGTCCTGGCAATGATAGCGCAGAGACATGATTGTCTCATAATTAGGAATTGCTGCGACAGGCATATTTCAGTGCATATACCACCGAGAGTGCTTTAGTATGTCTGTTTTAGTACCAACATACTGCATGTGTCTGTTTTCCGTGTGTGTATTGAATTTGTATTTGTTTTCTGTATTGTTTTGTATGTTTAAATGTGCTTACTAACATATTATTGTAAAGATGTTTCGTATTTTTGATTTTGTTACTAACACAGTGGACCATTGATGTCTTAAATAAATAAATGATTGATTGATTAATCACGTGAGAACAGCTGAAGGGATAGAGATGAAATTTCGAACAGTATATATACATTGCGCAATTGCGACTGCCGGGTAAGGGGTCTCGGGTTCGATTCCCGGGTCGGGCAATGTATTACTGGGTTTTAAAAAAAAAAATCTCAGTAGTAGCACGGAGTCTGGAACTGTGCCCGGTATATGGCAATAGGCTCACCCCCTATTACATGGGACTCATAACATAAATAGTGAAAAGTGGGTGTTACATTGTACTTACAGTGGTATAATGTGCACCTCTGCCAACCCCTTTGAGGATAAAAGGCGTGATGTTATGTTATGTATATATACATATAACAGTGTAGTTTATGGTCTGGTTTAACATGTAGGTTAGTTTTTATCCCACAGGACGGGCGGAGCCGTTGGCAGCAGCTAGTTTTTGTTTATTTAATTGTGCATAGAAAAGTTGACAGTTATTTTTGATTGTTACACTACTGCTACTACTGGTGAAGATAAAGATAATTTATTTGTATAAACGTGTGCCATTCATACAAAAGCATGCAAAATTTTAATTGTTTAAAATCAGTGTCCCATACATGTTTTGCCCATAGCGGCGTACAAATTCAATTTATAGTAATTACAATTCATATTATCGAAATTAATTATTATTGACTGTCAGAAAGTAGTGTCAGCTACAAAGTCATTCAAACAGTAGTAACAGTTTTCTGCTAGTAAGCGTCTTGCATTTTTATCTTAACCACATTTTTTTATGTTTATTTATTTACAGGGTTTTTTCTTAAAAGAAAACGACACCCCGATTATTGAATACAAAAAAGAACACTTTAAAAATAAACATTTCCTCACACTAGCATTTTCTCCTGTATCGTTGGTGCATTTACAAACATACACATGACACACAGACCCGAAACAACAATCTGTGGATCACACAAAGAATTGTTCCGTGCGGGAATCGAACCCGCGACACGTCGCGCGGCAGCTAGTTGCCCAGCCACCTCGCCAACCGTGCAGTCGATTACTTTATTTATACTTAGACTTACATTTAAGTTAACCTACCCGCAACCTAGTACCCATAATAATTACTCAATACATGCAGAATAGTTAAGAAGTTTTTATCTATAGATTAATTTACCACATATTATTTCATCCCCAAAGTTGCTTTGGCCAAAAGCCTGCTATTTTGGTGTAGTTCCCCAAAAATGGCTGAGGTTTGAACCTTAAACATACATATTAATAAGAATTCTGGCCTCATCCGACAATGGCGAAGCCAGAATGCTATTATAGTAGTCTAGTAATTTTCGAGGTCAAACGCGTGACGTCTTCGAGCCCCAATACAGCTGCATTCGGCAAGCATATCCTTGCGTCTTCGACCAGTCCACAACCAGCACAATTGGGTGAATCCAATTTACGCCGCATCATATAATCCCGAGGAACTATATTACAAATTATTGGCGCAATACACAAAATGTGTTTGTGCAAAAGAACAGTCCTAGCGGGTGAGTCACACTAACGCGACAATAGTTATGACTAATTCTTGTATTGTGCAAACATTTTAATTTTGAAGAAATAGCATCTTCAGACAAAAGTCGCGTCAGTCGGGTTATCAGTGTTTTTATTTTTACACTTGATGATTGATATACACCACACCGAGTTTTGGTCTCTTATCGGGACATTACGTTACTGGGTTCTTATGTTTTTTAATATAATATTCAAAACAAGTGCAAGTCGGAATCGCGCACAATGGGTTCCTTAGGCTGCCTGTCCATTGACGCGGATAGGGGCAGCGGAGCGGAGAAACGAAGAAATATTAACCAATAGGATTGCATGAAATCTCCGCTTCGCTTTAGTGGAAAGGGATTTGCGAGTTAGTTTAGAAATTTATACATTTTCGGAAGCGGCGCGTGGTAGCTGTGGAAGGATGCGAGACGGCGGAGTGGGCAAGCTGAGTAAGCCAGCGGCGGAGAAGCGGTCTCGGGAGGGGGGCGAGGGTGTGGGATATTGAGACAGTATAGTATACCGCTGAAGTTTGAGAGTCCATTACTCCGCTCAGCAATACTCACTGACTCCGCTCAGCTGCTCCTCTCCGCGTCAATGGACAGGCAGCCTTATGCTACGGACTCACGACGCGATTTTCACCCACGCCCGCCACGGTGGCGGAATGGAGATTTATATTCAAAACTCACGACACCGCAGTTTTCTGCAGTCACAAACTTGGCTGTTGATTATCGCAAGACGAGCGGTTAAAGCATCAGAGTGCCAAGCACGAATAACTTCCGCATTCGTAACGTAATTGTATCGTCCGTGTTCGACATTCTGAGGCCTTAAAATAATCGAAACGAGTATGCGTTCGGCACTCTGATTGGCCGGCTCAAGTGAATCAACCAATCAGAAAGCTTAACTCGCTCGATACTTTTACGATACGAATGCGATAGTTATTAGTGCTTGGCCCTCAGTTGAGTGCCAGACCGGCGGTCCCATTGCGATCGCCCGCCAACCGATCGCAGAGCGCGCGGCGTTGGCATGGAAAATATTTAAAACGAATTTAGAGTATTACCTCCTCGCCCCTGAAGGGGTCGTTCCCTTTACTCGAATCGTGCGACCGGGTTGCATGCATCCAGGAATAGGGACCACACATGGCACCATCTAGAAATATAGAAAAAAAAACATTTATTTAAAGCCCTACTACTTATTTAAAGACTTATGTACATACAATAGTTTGACTTGTATATATGTACTAGCTTTTACCCGCGGCTTCGCTCGCGTCACAAAAGGATAAAAAGTAGCCTATGTGACTATCCTCCCTTCAACTACCTTCAGTTAAAAAATCACGTTCATTAGTACCTCCGTTCTGCCCTTTCAGACAAGCAAACCAACAACTAGCTTTCCACTATTTGTTTATATTTCGCTATTTATATTTTTCCAATAAGTAGGTAATTCGTTGACTGGTTTTAAATTATAGACAGCGCCATCTATACCAATATTTTTGTTTTCCCTCGGTAATGTCAAATTTTTCCGGGATAAAAAGTACCCTATTATTTAATCCACACTTCTAACTTTACGTCTGTAAAATGTCAAAGCAATCGGTTTAGTAGTTACGGCGTGAAAGCGGAACAAACAAACAAAGAAACAAACTCACTTTCCGATTTATAAATTATAAGTAAGGAAGTAAGGATGTTTGTGCGCAGTTATCTCGCGATTGGTTGAACTGATTTTGTTGAGGTTTTCAGAAGTTCTGGGAGGTTATAGCGGGCTTGTCCCATAAAAATCCCAAAATTTCCAGAAGGCACTCAAGTACAGTACCTCTGGTGTTGCGAGTCCTTAACCGGCGCCGATGGCTTACCATCAGGTGATCAGTCTGCTTGAAAGAGTAACCTATGGAATTTCTTACTCGTTCTTCTACATAGTCTCATCTACACGTCTTTGGAACGAGCGACTGACTGACAGACTAACAGTATCTTATTTGACGTATAAAAGTCTCTTCTTGGACTAATTTAAAATCAATGATTTTGATTTCTTTACCGTAATGTGCACCTCTGCCTACACCTTCGGGGATAAAATGAGGTATGTAATCTATATTCTTTTATAAATTACGTTTAAAAAATTGACTACAACCCCCTCTTTTTTTAATTTGGTTACTATCCTAAATATACAAATAGTTTTTGCTTGACTGCCTCGTTGGCCGAGTGGTCGCAAGTGCGACTGCCGGGCAAGGGGTCTCGGGTTCGATCCCCGGGTCGGGCAAAGTATTACTGGGTTTTTAAAAAATCTCAGTAGTAGCACGGAGTCTGGAATTGTGCCCGGTATATGGCAATAGGCTCACCCCCTATTACATGGGACTCATAACATAAATAGTGAAAAGTGGGTGTTACATTGTACAGTGGCATAATGTGCACCTCTGCCTACCCCTTCGAGGATAAAAGGCGTGATGATGTTATGTTATTATGTTACAAATAGTTTTTATTGTGTCAATAAGTACATTACATGTCAACGTGTTTGGAGGCCCCATTTAAGCAAACAATGCCTGTATTAGGAGGCTCCGCTCTTTTTACATCATTGTCGTACACATAATACCAACACAGTTAATATTGTATATATCTTCTCCTAAGTGTAACAAACGCTTTTATAAAAACTGCACTGTAACAGATTAGAGGCTTACTCTTGAATCCAATTCCGATCGTTCGACATTGATATTGTGAAATTTTGTACTCATGAGTTACAACACTAGCGCCCATTGCATCCGTATTGCGTGGATATTGAATGAACTAAATAGTATTGAGTTTCTCTTTATATTCCGTACTCTGAATGCTATTGTAACAGCTACGATTGTGGTTGTATAGTGTTGACATTGAATAATTATTAAGATTTTATTGGATTGAAATTGCATTGACATGGAGATTGGTTTTAAGAGTAAGCACCCAGGGCTGGATGGTGTTCACAATGATTTCAAGGAACTGCCAAATTCAGCAGGTACGCGGATCATTTCCATACACGCTCACTCGCTCAACGTTTCGGCGGCAACTGTTGGCAACAAGCGCGTAGTGAGTGAGTCCGGTCGAGCAAAGCGTGGGCCACGCGGGGATTTTTTTTTCGACGAGGTAATATCATCCCATTACTTCTCCCGCCTGGGTGAGACTGCAGTTAGTGTCAGACTCTTACTGACTAAAAACCACCCGATTCCTACTCCTGACCTTCGAGCCGGAGCCCCGGTAACTCGTTAAGTCCTCCACGGCTCCGTGTCGGCATCAGCCGTATTGGACCCCATCTGTGGTAGTCTGATGGCTCCTGAAGGTGCGCGGGGCAGGGCGGGACTACGATTTTAAATTTTAAAATGAACACACCACGTTACGCGAGAGAATCGCGCTTTAACATAAATACATACAGGTTAAATGAAGAACCTCCTGTTTTTGAAGTCGGTTAAAAAAGTGGCTTACCAGCTTCGGGTCCTCTGGCGGGTTTGCTCCCACGTAACTAATTGCATCTATGGTAACGTCACCGGCTACCATAATGTGCGTGATATCACGAAACGGCATGCGATGGTTGAATTCGCAGACAAATTTTCCATTGACCTCCACCTGGTGAGAGTTGGGGAAATTAGTTAGTGTTAAGTACAAAACAAATTAATTATTCATCGGAAACAGGTAGGTGTAGGTAGAAGTAGACTTATAGTCGAACTAGCTTCTGCCAGCGGCTTCACCCGCGTTCCCGTGGGATAAAAAGTAGTCTATGTGTTATTCCAGACCATAATCTACCACTGTTCCAAATTTCATCCCGATCCCTTCAGCCGTTTCGACTTGAAAGAGTAACAAACATACAGACAAACAAACAAACTTTTGCATTTTTTTAAACTTTGCCCCACACTAGGTTTGTCTCCTGTGTCGTGGGTGTGTTTACAAACAGTTCACATACACATGACACCCAGACCCGAAACAACAATCTGTGGATCACACAAAGAGTTGTTTCATGCTGGAATCGAACCTGCGACATGTTGCGTAGCAGCCAGTTGCCCAACCACGCCAACCGTTCAGTCAAATTTACACAACATAACATAACATCACGCCTTTTATCCCCGAAAGGGTAGGCAGAGGTGCACATTACGGCATTTAATGCCACTGTAATGTAACACTCACTTTTTACTATTTATGTTATGAGTCCCATGTAATAGGGGGTGAGCCTATTGCCATATACCGGGCACAATTCCAGACTCCGTGCTACCACTGAGAAAAACCCAGTAATATACTTTGCTCGACCCGGGAATCGAACCCGAGACCCCTTGCCCGGCAGTCGCACTTACGACTATTCGGTCAATCAGTCAAATTTACAATATTAGTAAAATTACGATTACGGTTTATTGACTTACCTTAAATGAATAATAATAGCAATAGATAAGTATTTCGAAAGATTCTCCTTTGTCCATCGGTACTCCTGAGCTGACCTCCTCAGTGCCCCAGCTGGTCTCGAAGTGGTTACGGACCAGAGAGTTGGTGTCGAAGCGAGGGTTGAAATGAAACGCTATGACTTCATCATTGTAGATTTTCGGACCACATTGTAGGTTTATAGCGAACCTGTAGGCATTTTAACAATGTAAACGTCTTAATCATCATCATCTAGATATTTTATGGCATCGAACATTTCTTTTTTGATTTCAAAGACTTTAACAAATATTTTTATTTGTATTTTTATTTTTTTATTGAGGAGGGAAAATCATCCAATGACTTCTCGTACGCGAAAACCGACGGGTCCGTGAAAACCGTTCGGGTTCGGTACGCCTTTTATCCCCGAAGTGGTAGGCAGAGGGGCATATTACGGCACTTAATGCCACTGTACAATGTAACACCCACTTCTCACTATTTAAGTTATGAGTCCCATTTAATAGGGGTTGAGCCCATTGCCATATACCGGGCACAACTCTGGACTCCGTGCTCCTACTGAGAATTTTTATATAACCCAGTTATAATTTGCCCGACCCGGGAATCGAACCCGAGAACGCTTTGCCCGGCAGTTGCACTTGCGACGACTCGGCCAACGAGACAGTCATAAAATAATGAATATAAAGTCACCTGTTCGAGCAGGGTGACGTGCGACCCTTCACGCTGAAGATGCGGCCAGGGAAGACACCGAACGGAATCGGGAACGAAGCAGGTATTGTCTGGAATGATAAATAAAAAAATATATATTATTATACCTTTATATTATACAAGGTGTAGTTTTGAAACCGTGTCATTTCTCGGGGGTATGCCACAGAAGTCATAAAGGTTCAATGTAAGAGAAAATGTCGGACCAACAGTTAAAGATACGGCTTTTAATAAATCGTTTAAGTTCGACAGTATTTCACAATAAGCGACAGCAATGTTTCTTATTGGAGTTTTATCGAATTAGAAATAATATCAATTACGTGTTTGAGTTTGTGTGCGTTAAGCTGCGTTATAAAGCTAGTTACAAAACGGCGGCCCGGCGTGTAGTTCGCACTTACGGATTTCCGTAATTTACAGAAAAATGAAAAATATTTACCTACAATTTTTTTTATTGATTCGGACTCAGAATCGATACCCGAGTTACCTCCTAAAATGACGCGGCTTTAAAACAACACCTTGTATACCTAATTCTGCTGTACGTGTGTATGTCATTGAACTCCTCCTAAACGGCTTGAACAATATAAATGATTTTTTCTGTACGCGTTTGAGTGGCGCCCTGGATGGTTTAGATTAACAAATCAGCTCGGCAGATGGTGTTTTTCCTCCTCTCATGCAAGTCCTCTTCTTATGCACGGAGGTGCGGGTTCGGAACCTAACAACAGCAAGTACCAGTGTCACTTGTTCCGAGTTATACGTACTTTCTAAGATTATTTAGACGCCACTGACAAACGGTGAAGGAAAACATCGAGAGGAAACCTGGGCTTATAATTTCTAATTATAAGTTTTGAATCACCAACACGCATTGAGCAAGAGTAGTGATTAATGCTCCAACATTCTCCGTGTGAGTGGTCATTATCTGAGTATTCTGAGTTTAGTCATTAAAGGAAAATTGCGAAAACTTACTGTTTTAACTTTCAAAACACACATAAAATTACCTTTTATCAACACAAACTTTACAATAAAATAATATAGGTACATGTACTAGACACTGATAAACAAATACACTATTTGAAAAACCTACACATATATTTAACTACTACTACACATATATACGCAAATTTTTGTTTAAAACTAAATCCTAATAATTTAAACGAAAGCATAAACAAAGCGATCGCACATCACAAGAAAACAATATGGCCGAAAACATTGGAAATGAATTGAAGTCAAGTCATTACTAATAGTAGTCAATTGAGTGTTTATTATAAAAAAAAAATACAGCTGAAAATTAATATGATGTGATTGTGATTCCACAAACACTTGCCAAGTTCCATGATGATTGAACTGTTAGGAATGTGTGCATTTCCAAAAGCTATATTTTATTTACAAATCGACCTAATAAAAGTGTGTTCACATTTGGCTACAGTTCACTCTTAGTTATTTCTATTATCAGAATTAAGGAAAACAGATGTGTTACACATTGAGTATTGCATTGTTTTTGTCAAGACCTTGAGAACGGGAAAATACACAAATATTCTTCATATTAGAACTTTCGTCAGACATAATTAATTAATATGTTATACGTTTACTCCCATAACTGTTTGACGGGGAACTCGACTAGTTTCAAGCCATGCTAGAGGCTCATAACTACATACAATAAACACATATAATAATTTATTTATTTATTTATTTATTTATTTATTTACACATAACATACAAATATCCTTACAGGCTAGACCCAATGCGATATTGCAGCAAATATTAAAATAACAATAATAAACGAAATATACTAACACGAAATATCCATATACTTACTCTTTAAAATATATAATAAGCTTTTACTACATATAGCAAATCCTATGCATGGCTGCTCGTGTAAATTCTCCTAAAGAGCAACAGAATATGTCTACGTCATTAGCAACGAGGTTCAGAGTGCGAAGCGCACACGTGAGCGGTGCCTCCCGCAGCAAGTTAGTTCGCGACCGTGGTTCTGCCAGTAACCGCGGCTGGCGACGACGACTCACGTATCCATCGGGCACGACCAGTTCAACCATTCGCAATATATCCGGATTGTGTATCTTCCCCCTAATTATCTTAAAGATATAAGTCACCAATGCGAGTTGCCTCCTGACCTGTAGTTCATTATATCCAACCATACCCAAGACAAACAGAGTTGGATACATTAATGGGTAGAATGGATATACCCCGAACTCCTCATATACTTATATCTCATGAATTTATTCTGTACTCGTTCAAGCATGAGACTGTACTTAGTTTCGTGTGGAGCCCAGATCACTGCATTGCATTCAAGCTGGCTTCTTACTAAGCATTATATAGTGTCGTTATAGCTCTCATATTTGTGAAGCCTCTAACCATTCTAAGTACAAACCCTAGATTTCGATATGCTTTCTTGCATACCTCGACTATATGATTACGAAACGTGAGCCCAGAGGTAAAACGAACTCCTAAGTCTTTAATCTCCATGACCCTATTCAGCGGTACCCCATCCACCGTATAAGTATGTGTGACGGGTGAGTGTGCGCGTGAGAAACTTATGGTCGCACACTTAGACGTGTTAAAATGCAGGAGATTACATTGACTCCAAGCAACTACTCGGTCTATATCGCTTTGCAGCTTTTCACAGTCATTTACGTTTGTGATGGGGAGGTAAAGCTTAAGGTCGTCAGCAAACAGTAAGCACTTAGCATCCTGAACAACGTTCGGCAAGTCATTAACCATTAGTAAAAACTCTAGGGGCCCTAGATTTGTTCCTTGACTTACTCCCGACCTAGTGTAGTAAGTGTTCGATTGATGCCCTGCGTAGTCAACATACTGCTGCCTGCCACTCATATAACTCGCAATAAACTTAAGCAAGTGTGGAGTGAAACCGACCGCAGCTAATTTTTTAAGTAAGACGTCGTTATCAACCAAATCGAACGCTTTTTTAAAATCAAAATATGCAGCATCGATTTGCCCCCCACTGTCCACTGTTGGTACCACATCTGCCATGTAACAAAGTAGGTTGCTGGTGGTATTTCTAGTTGGCCGAAAACCATGCTGCGCATCTGTGAGTTGCACTCTAACTTGCCGATAAACATTCGCATAAATACTTGACTCCAACACTTTAGCCATAGTTGACAATATTGCAACCGGTCTGTATTCTTCAACTTTAGTTCCCGAACCTCCCTTCGGCACCGGTATGACTCGGGTAATCTTCCACATCTCTGGAAACTCTGATGTTTTGAGGCAAAGATTGTAGATATACAGCAGCGGTCTCGCTAATGCCATACGACAGTCTCTGAAAATGAACGGCGGAATACCATCAGGCCCTGACGATCTTTTCGGCTTAAGTTGGTGAAGAGCGCGAACCACTTCATCTAACCTCAACCTGTCAAGGTGAACTCGCCCTGCGCCGTTCTGACTGCCCGCTTCACGTATCGCTGCATCCACATCCAACCTAGGTGTTTTTGAACTGTATACAGAATAAAAATATTCAGCAAATTCCTGGACCGCTCGCTCACCTGTCACGGCCTCTCCGTCCTTTAATATCTTACGACTACCGGCTTTACCTCTTTTAGAATTAACATAGCACCAAAAAGACTTAGGGTCTTCAGACAAATGGGTTTGCAAGCGTTGACGATATTGCTCCTGTGCTATAAAAATCTTATTTTTGACTTGGGTCCTACATTGGGCAAACGCTTCGTAATCACTCCTTAGACCGCTAATTTTATACATCCTGTGAAGAGTAGCTTTGAGCTTTATGTCGCGAATTATTTCACCCGTATACCACTCGGGATAAATATATCTCGAGGGTACCCGGCTTCGCTTTTTTCTGGGAACACAGCTATCTATAGATGCATATATCGTCTCATAGAAGTACTTTAAACTCATATCCAAATTCAAGTTACGGGCATATAAAGGAGTCCAGTCTACTGCAGCGATTTTAGAATATAATTGAACAAAATCGGCTTTATGAAAGTTCCAACTGACCTGTGTACGCGTTTCCGATGATGAAGTACTCAGAACTGGCTCCGGCTCAAAGCGGGGATCCGATCTTAAAACTGGACAAACGGACACCTCTAGGGGCGGGTGATATGTGTCCACCGGCACGAGCGGCGCCTCCGCTGCGCGCACGCTCACGCACTCCTCCCCCAATGTAGTCAGCACTAGATCTAAACATCGATCATTACAGTTAACTATTCTGTTGCTCTGAGAAAATCCACAGTATGTCACAAGAAACTCATAATATGAATTAACACTTGTCGTACTGGAATATAAATTAAAATCTCCGATCACCACCACTTCACTATAATTATTACAATAATGTTCAATGATTCTAAATAATAATTCATATTCGTTATCACTACTATTGGGTGGGATATAAACTACACAAATACAAAATAAAAATCTACTACGTAAATAAACTGTGGCACCTACTATTTCAAAAATATGGTCGTCAATGTTTACCTCGATGGGTACAGGTACTCGCCGCAACTCGATTCGCGGTGTGGCCACGAGACACGCGCCGCCTTGTTTTCTTCCGTCCGCGCGGTCGCATCGCATGATAGTGAAACCCGGAGGGATTAATTCCGTATCACATACTGACTCATTTAGACTCGTTTCCGTAATAGCAAAAAGATCCGAGTCATGACTTAGCAGCCCAACGTAAAATTCCTCTATTTTAGTTCGTAGACCCCTTACATTCTGATAATAGATAGTAGTGCTATTATTGGGTTTTTTGTTTTTGAAATGGCTTACGAAACCAAACCCATTCACAGAACTCCACATTAACAGGCCAATTCTCGGGTTGACATAGAATGTCGTATTTACTCTCAGGCACTCCGATCATAAAAGAAGCATAATCTCTCTCTGTTTTAGGCTTAATTCGTTCTACTTTCACTGGTGTTTCCAAGCCGCATATGTTTTTTACATATATTTCTAAGTTTTCTTCTTTCGTTTCCTTCTGCAGACGCCATACATGTAAATATTTCTGTTTCTCTGTTCCTTGAATTGCATTTACTGTAGTATTTCCTCCTCTTTTTACCGTTCCATTAGAATATCGATTTTTCTTCCTATTTATCACTGTCCAGTTTTCTTTTCCATTTAACATAGTCTTCTCTTCCTCATTTACTTCAATTACGCTGGCACCAATTTCTTTTACTTTATTGATTAATGGTGGTATTTTTTTTTCCGATACAGAACTGGTTGGTTTTGTGGCCACACATTCTTTTATCGGTTTATTATTCACCGGATTGCTTGTTACCTTCTTTTGATTTTGTTTAATAATATCGACAAATGTTTTAGATGACGAAATTATATTTTGGTCTGTAGGAGCTTCAAGCCCCTCCGCACTATCCAAATTCAAAGTTTTTGTAGTAAGACAAGCTCGCAGAAGTTCATTTGACTTTAACAAATCATTTACTTTTGTTTCTAACTGGTCTACTTTACTCGCTTTCTTTTGAACTACCTCCATAACTTTTCGTAAGTCTTTCAATTCATTTTCGGTTTTGATAAATCTATCTTGAAGTAATGCATATTGTCGAATTTGCTCATCCAGTCTCGCTAATATTTCTAATCGAAACTCCTGTAGTACTTCACTTGGTGTGTTATCATGTCCAAGAACCGATTTCGTTTCCGCTTCCTTCTGGTTGCGACGACAACTGCGCTGAGTAATACCTATACATTAATAAGAAATTTATGTAAATACAACTAATATTATAAATCGGAAAGTGAGTTTGTTTGTTTGTTTGTTCCGCTTTCACGCCGTAACTACTTAACCGATTGCTCTGAATTTTTGCAGACGTAAAGTCTGGATTAAATAATAGGGTACTTTTTATCCCAGAAAAATTTGATATTCTCGAGGGAAAACGAAAGCGCTGTGTGTATTGATATATGTCACATAGGCTACTTTTTATCCTTATGTGACGCGAGCGATACCGCGGGTAAAAGCTAGTTAAAAAATATTTGTCTAACGTTAACAGGACTTTCACGAACATATACAGGTATACCTAAATAAATATTTGTCTCATTTACAGAGGGTTTCATTAATAGGGGTGGACTTGGAATTACTTGTGAAATTTGTGGGTAGAATAAGAATGAGTAAACAAACAATGTTATCTCAGTTACAGAGGTATATGCATATAAAATTTACTCGCTGTCTCAGTTATAGAGGTAACTATGATGATAAATAGAAAGAACAAATCCCAGACATAGAGGTTTACCTCGTCACATTAACAGAGGTAATTCAGTGCCAAAGTGTTGGGACCTCAGCATGAGTTCCAGTTATGGAGGTTTCTCACTTATCCAGGTCCCACTTCATTAAGTTTCACTGTACTTGCTAACAAGTCAAGTTCAATACTTTTTTCAAACTACCAACGGCAATTTACTTATATGAATATGGATGAAAAATACAACGCAAGTGGTTCCATTTGTCGCGGAGAACCTAACGGGTTACCGGGGCTCCGGCTCGACGTGCAGGAGAAGGAACGCGGTTGTTTCTAGTCAGTAAGAGTCTGAAACTCCCTCCCGCCTCACCCAGGCGGGAGCAGTCATTCGATGATTTTCCCTCTTTAAAAAAAAACAAGTGGTTCCATTTGTTTGCTCCCACCCCAAGAGTAGAATAATGTAAAAAATATCACTCACCGGATTGCAGATCGTCGCCATTGTTACTTTAATGTTATTTCCTTATCTATCAAATTAAATGACGATGTGACCGACACGGGTTCGGTTCGACTGTCGAGGGACGAATGCAGTGTTCGTCCACGTTACCTTATTTATATATCGTGCAATAAGGTAATTCGTAACAAATATATTGAAGTTTATTCTATCATTCCTTCTCATAATATTCAGATATCCCGGCGTCATTTCATATTTATGCGTCGACGTGTAAAACTGCGGTTCAATAGCCAACAAGCTGTGTCCGCGACTTCGTCTGCGCGTACTATTGAATTTGGATAGTACATAATATCTATTACAATAGATATTATGTACTATCAGATCAGAATGGCAACAAGTCGCAATACCTTTAAATTTAAAGTCCGTGAGCAACTACTTAAGCATTGGCAGACTCAAAATAATTAAGGAAACTATTCACTACTATGTTTATGTGTGTAGTATACATATTACATAACTTTTTTTTTTTTGATTGTGTTCTGGCTTCGCGACCACTTCATTTCTCTGCACTTCCCTATGGTTGACTGTAAGAGAATGCCTTAAGGCATTAAGTCCGCCATTCACGGTATTTTGTGAAGAAGAAATAAATAAATAAATAAATAAATACAATAACAACATAACATCATGTCTTGTATCCCCGAAGGGGTAGGCGGAGGTGCACATTACGGCACTTAATGCCACTGTACCATGTAACACCCACTTCACTATTTATATTATGAGTCCCTTGTAATAGGGGGTGAGCTGATTGCCATATACCGGGCACAATTCCAGACTCCGTGGCTACTACTGGGTTTTTTTTTAATACCAAGTAATTCTTTGCTCCACCCGGGAATCGAACCCTAGAACCCTTGCCCCACAATCGCACTTGCGACCACTCGCCAACGAGCCAGTCAGTATTAAATAGGATTCAAAACCAAATAAAAACTGCGTTTAAAAACCGACTTCAAAAAACCAAAAAATATAACAAACAAAACGTCAAAAATACTAAAAAGCAAAAAATAACTATTATTAGTACTGATGGGTTAGCCACCCACTGATAGGTTAGAAGTCGGCGCCATAAGTTCTATTCAAAATTATTTATTAAAACCTTAATAGATACCTAATTTACAATTTTGTGGATATTAAGTTATATCATTGTGATATGAGCGGCTCCATCATCAGGTCAACTCCAGACCCTTATCAAATTGACCCTTACGCATTATAATAGACGCATAATTGGGCCTATAGAATTTTAGAAAGTTCCCCTCGGTTTCCCTAGGATCCCATCATCAGATCCCGACCTCATGGAAATGGGATTATCTCGGGAGTATACCCTTTCAAACAAAACAAGAATTTTGGAAATCGGTTCACAAATGGCGGAGTAATCGGCGACCAAACAAAAAAAAACAATTATCCGAATATAGTAGGTACCTCCTCCTTTTTTTGAAGTCGGTAATAAAACGCTCAGAATGATGGCGATCTTAATTAAAACTCAGACTTCTTCAAAAATAATTTTTGTATTCACTTGTTTTATATTGTTTTACAAAAAATAATCTGTTGCTGTCAAAAACAAAACCGCGCGAATGCCCTACAGGGACAGTGTTGCCACGTTCGAAAACTAAATCAATCCACAATATTACTATTTGGCATTTTAGTGTTTGAAATACTTAGACCACAGAACATATAAAGGAGTAGACAATATTATTATTCACAAATATAAAAATAGTGAGCAATAAAATATGTGACTGTAACAGTAATAATGGCCGCCCTGTTTTTAGACTTTTATAAAAAGCATTAATGTGTTTTTGGTTTTTAGCAACGGACTTGTTTGGACTACGTGTTAAAAGCATTGTTTCATTATCAACAGCCTATAAATGCCCACTACTGAGCAAAGCCTCTTCTCATACGGAGAAGGTTTGAGCATTAACCACCACGCTTCCTCAACGGGTTGGCGATTCCAAACTTATAATTCTTACATAACATAACATCACGCCTTTTATCCTCGAAGGGGTAGGCAGAGGTGCACATTATACCACTGTACAATGTAACACCCACTTTTCACTATATATGTTATGAGTCCCATATAATAGGGGGTGAGCCTATTGCCATATACCGGGCACAGTTCCAGACTCCGTGCTACTACTGAATTTTTTTTAAAACCCGTTAATACTTTTACCTACCCGGGAATCGAACCCGAGACCCCTTACCCGACAGTCGCAATTGCGACCACTCGGCCAACGAGGTAGTCTTCTTATATAACTTATAATTCTTATATAACTTATAAGCCCCGGTTTCCTCACGATGTTTTCCTTCACCGTTTGTCAGTGGTGTCTAAATAATCTTAGAAAGTACATATTACGATAGCGAAATATTGAAAAAATCTTACTTGTACTTGTGAAGTAAAAATAAAATAACATTTATATGAAATAAATAAATGTTTTTCCTTAAATGGTCAAAAATTTCCCAAGTTCAATATTTGGGAATTCATAGGTAAAAAAAATCCATAATTTTAATTAATCAAAAAAAAATTCCCCGTATTGTATTCAAATGAGGGTAAGGTTGCCAGTATCGGACCACTTAACTTTGTATTGCCGTTTGTAATAGAAAGAAGAAAAAAAATGAAAAACCGTCACGCCACACACGCAGACAAGAAAAAGAGTATATTTATATTATACACCATCCATACCTATATTTATTATTAGCATATTTATACTATAGAATATTAATACAATAATAACAATTATTTATTGAAGCGCTTAATTTACAAAAAAACAAGGTAAAAATGTGCAATCAGTAAAAACCCATATCAAAAACCACAATAAAACTGTAGTTAAATGTCTGTATGTCAATTTTTACATCGAGAGCGCGCGAAACACTGGGACACGCATCCTTCTCCAACGATGCTCACAACACATTAGCGGGCGCGGGGGCGGGAACTAGTTCTAATACACAGTGATTCGGTGCAACGATTGATTTTTTAATTCATTACTTTTCGAGAAATTAATGCGGTCCAAAGAAAGAAAGAAAAAGCTGGTCCAATAATCGCAACCTTACCCTACTAAATAACGAGCTCCGGCCACCGTAAGCGCGGGACTGCGGACGGCGAGCAGGTGGCTCCCCGTCCGACCAGCAGCTGTAGCCAAATGCCATTTAGCGCTTGTCTATATATAGAATAGAAAACCAAATTATATGGAATTGACGTAAATTTTGACATTTGTCAGTGTCATCCCCATACATTTTGATTTCTACTCTCTCTGTAGACAAGCGCTAAAGTGGCGTTTGGCTAAAGGCCCAGGACCAGACCGGAGCATACGGCGCCGGGCGTTCCGTGCGCGCCTCAAAGAGCCATAAGGCCACCACGGATGGGACACAATAGGCCTGATGCCGATACGGAGTCGCGGAGAATCTGACGGGTTACTAGGGCTCCGGCTCGAAGTGCAGGAGTAGTGATTACTTTACTGCCTTTTTCAAGTTTAATTAGTTTAAGAGTCTGACACTCGATGCTTCCCCCCCCCCTTAACCCCCCCTCCCCTCTACTAAACAAACAATTAATGGCCTACCTATAGACTAATAATATATTAAATTAAGTCAGGTATATCTAAATACCTTCGGAATATGTTTATAACAATACACAGGAAAAATTAAATAATGTTTAATAATTAATAAAATCTATACACGTAATATAACTGTAGAAATGTAAATTCTGTACAATGAAAATAAAAAAATAAAAAAATAATAGGGGGATTACTAGATAGATATCGCACCCAAAAATATGATCTTGGGGCGTGATCTACAATCGATATTAAACTGTCAAACACCAAGCGGTCACCGGTGACCGCGACCTATTGTTCTTTAATTGTGTCTATAAAACCAGTACTCGACGAGTTAAAGCATAAAATATAGGTTTTAGAATCTTTGTTTGTCTGTTTGTATATCCGGGCTAAACCTAAGAACTACTCCATGTATTTACTTGAAATTTTTACATGAATATTACTTATAGGCTACATGTTGTCACGGTATAACCTACGGGGGAGGAGCTGTGAATCAATATTCTACGCGGACGAGGGCACAGCTATATAAACATACCTATACAATAGAATGAACAGACAGTAAACAGCTATCTAAATTAAAACATTTTTTCCTTGAAATAATTTTTGCACTGTGTCTACGTGTCACATATTAACCTTTTGACCGCCACGGACGGCTTGAGCACGGTAATATTATCATACAGTAGTGTAACTCGGCCGCATGACAGAATTAAGTACCTACAGCCGCGCGGTACGTAAACATGCGTTAGGGCTGCGCGTCTCCAGTATTTTAGTTACATTTGCCTACTTTCTGTTTCTATTTAGTTTTGTGATTGTAAATATCCTTTTTTATACAGGGTTACAGGGTGAGTCGTCCTAAATCCTCCAAGAGGTGATAGTATCCATTATTCCTGACCGATTTGACAAAGGAACCCCATATCCCAAACTCAACCGTTCTCAAGATATCCGCCTTTGTAATTACTTTTATAAAAAATCTTTTATGTTCATATCTGATATATGTTAGTGTAATCTGACATTAAGTCTCCCTTGTGTACACTTTGTGCATGAAGCGTTAATAAATAAATAAATATACTATTTAAAAAATATGGGTCGAAAGCAATGATTAATTGGTTATCGATAAGATGTTGGAATCCCTATTTTTTTGTTGGTATTTGCGCTGATTTTGTGGCTTGACGTGACGGGTGTCGATGTGTTCACGCTCTGGCGGTCAAAAGGTTAAATTATTTTTGCACTGCGTATACCTACATATCACATAATTATTAATATTGGGATATTTATTTAAAATTAATTCCTTTATCCTGTCTATTGTTAACTTAGGTACATGTGCAGGAAAAAAACAATTTCTAATTACGGCCTATATTCAGATAACACCTGAATCCCCGTAGGAAATTCCATAATACATTTATATTGTAGGTACTTGTACTCCCGATAACCGCACGAAAATTAAACAAATCAAATAGGTACTAGGTATAGGCTATACACGCTTGGTTTTTCATGATGGTTTTATGCTGGCCATACACGCTAGGTTATGCTTGATGGTTATAACTGTGCATACATAACCTTCAGGCGAGCCCTAGCGTGTATGTGATTAAACTGTACAGTTATCGGTGCATCGGTTATGCTTGTCGGTTTTGCATGCACAGTTATAACCATCATGCAAAACCTAACGTGTATGGCCTCCTTTACTGAGATAGAATTTTGAAAATATAAAATATTTGTATTATAACGTTCGTGAGACATTAAAATTAATTATTCGGTGCACTCACGTAACTGTTTGACGAGGAACTCGACTAGTTTCAAGCCATGTCAAGGCGGGTCCAGACATGTAATATTTGCCCGATCCGACAACTGACGCCGGTGTCACTTTGATTAAGGAAATATTTGGTGCTTGGGAGGAAGTACAGGATGCTATTGGTGTCTTTTGTGACCTCTCAAAAGCATTTGATTGCGTTGACCACGAGACACTTTTGCTGAAATTAGATCACTACGGGATAAGAAACTCTGCGCTCCGTCTTATGAGATCTTATTTAGAAGAGAGACAGTTAAAGGTTCATGTTAACGGTATTAACTCGCAGGGCTCTGAGATGAATATGGGCGTTCCTCAGGGTTCAATATTGGGTCCCTTTCTCTTTTTAGTCTATATAAATGATTTGCCATTTATATTTAAAAATGAACCACGAATGGTGCTTTTTGCAGATGATACATCATTAATTTTTAAAATAGATCGACGTACAAATAATCTTGACGACGTAAACAGCTCCATTCTTCAAGTGCATAATTGGTTCACCATTAATAATCTAGCACTTAATGAGAAAAAAACAAAATGTATTAAATTCAGTTTACCAAACGTGCGTAGTAACGATAGTGATATTGTTTTGAACGGTCAAAAGTTAGAATTTGGCGACGAGACAGTGTTTTTAGGTATTACGTTAGACAATAGGCTACAATGGGGTCCGCATATAAAGGCGCTTTCGGGGAGATTGAGCTCAGCTGCTTTTGTAGTTAGACAGATTAGACAGCTCACGGACGTAGATACAGCTAGGCTTGTCTATTTTAGTTATTTCCACAGCATTATGTCGTACGGCATTTTGTTGTGGGGTCGAGCTGCAGAAATAGAATCAATATTTATTCTACAAAAGCGGGCTATCCGAGCAATATATAACTTACGCCGTTGCGAATCGCTGAGAGAATTGTTTAAAACGATAAGTATTTTAACGGTGCCCTGTCAATATATATATGAAAATATAATGTATGTAAGGAAAAATAGGCAATTGTTTGAAAAAAGAAGCGATAGACACAATTTTAATACTAGAGGCAAAAATAAGTTAGCTATACCGCAATTCAGACTGTCCAAAGTACAGAAATCCTTTATGGGGTTAGGTATTAAATGCTATAATAAAATACCAAATAGCATACTAGATCTCAGTGAAAGTAAATTTAAAACATATATTAAGCGCGAATTATGTAATCAAGCCTACTACACACTGACAGATTATCTTGAAGATAAGAATGCTTGGCAGCATGTTGGTTCGGCTCCACCGGACAATACTCAAATGTAGTCAGTAGCTAAATTCCAATAGTAGGTATTTTAATACATAATTTAACACTTTAATTCTAATGTAGACAATCTAGTTTCCTTATGGCATCGAGCATTTCTTTATTGAAACAAAGAGTTTCCTTTTCTTTAATAGAAGCACTAATTCTAGTATTGTCAGTATGCATATGTGAGCACCATGTTGGACTTTAAGTTAATTTTTACTTATTTTTATTTTTTTTAATTTTAGTAAGTTATTAGTATAATGCGTCAAGCGTGTCTTTGCATTGTTCTTACATATGCGTACAGTATTGAAATATGTATCAGAGACATTGTAGAACATACTTTTTTAAAAAGAGTAACGAATGGAGTTTCTTGCTCGTTCTTCTCCATTCGAATCTACTTTTTGGAATGAGCACCTAGCTTCACCTAGTTTCACTGACGGACTGACTGACAGACTATTATTTATTTTGTATTTGTTGACGTTTCAAAAGCACCAAACTATGGTTTAATTGAAATAAATGCTTTGACTTTGACTTGACTTTGACCGATCACCGTATCCGTATCATCGACGCGTATCATGATCGCTTATGTAGACGGGTAATGATATACGTATCATGGATACGGGATCTCGATACGCCGTTATGATACGGCCCGTCCCATGTCGTGTCGGTTTTTATTTTTTGTCCTTGCCGTGAAGTAAAAACAATGAATTGGAACAATGAAAATGTTATTAAATTTATCGAGGTCTATAAAGAAAAGCAAGTATTATGGGACCTGGGAATTTTATACACGATCGTGACTATTGTGAAGATACGGATACGGAGCAAATCGGAGGCGTCCACAACTTGATACGGAGCTTGATACAATACGCAGATACGGAATACGGATACGGTGATAGGGTCGGTCAAATGATCATGTTTGGACCCGGCTTTAGAGGATCATATTCATATTCCAGTAGCAGCGACGGTTGCCGCGTCGCGGGTCGCGGAATGCTGCTCATGAATATGAGCCTCTAGCATGGCTTGAAACTAGTCGAGTTCCTCGTCAAACAGTTACGTGTGTCAATCGAAAACATAATAAGTAATTAATTTAAATATAAAATAGTCGAAAACTTGAATTTGCCTAATAATGTAAGTACTCACCTCTGTAAAGACGTAAACAAACAAACGGGGCAAGCCAAGTGAAATAGTTTAATGAATTGAAACGCTTAAAGAAATATAAAATATTTTTAATAACTATAAAACATAACATATACCTACATACAAAGATTATCACAACAGTTTATAAATATATCTTAAACGCCAATATTACAGTTTAATTTTAATTTCTTTATTACATTATTATACAACTTTTCCCACTATTCCTGCTCCTCAAACATGAGGGTGGAAGGAAACATCATCATCAACAGCCTATAAGTCCCCACTGCTGACCAAAGCCCTCTTCTCACACGGAGAAGGTTTGAGCATTAACTACTACGCTTGCTCAATGCGGGTTGGCGATTACAAACTTATAGTTAGAAATTACAAGCCCAGGTTCCCTCACGATGTTTTCCTTCACCGTTTGTCAGTGGTGTAAATAATCTTAGAAAATACATATAACTCGGAAAAAGTCATATTGGTACTTGCCGTTAGTAGGTTTCGAACTTGAATTCTCATGTATGAGAAGCGGGCTAAACCTATGGTTAGTAGCAATGGGCTTTTTATCAATTCAAAAACATACAATTTCACAAACACATCTCATCCAGACCCGAAACAACATTTTCTGTGAGAATCAGACACGTTGCGCGGTAGCCAGACACCACTGACAAACGGTGAAAGAAAACATCGTGAGGAAACCTGGGCTTATTTCAAATTATAAATTTGAAATCGCCAACCTGCATTGAGCAAGCGTGGTGATTTATACTCAAACCTTCTCCGTGTGAGAAGAGCCTTTTGTCAGCAGTGGCGACTTATTAGGTTGTTGATGATGATAATGATAAATAATAGAGTTATATAATAAAGTAATATTTCAATAAGTAAATAAGATTGCCAGCATCTCTTCTTTATTTGACAGGGATCTGAAAAAGAAAAACATCTATTGTTTGTTAAAATTTTCAACCGACTTCAAAAAAAAGGAGGAGGTTCTCAATTCGACTGTATTTTTTTTATGTTTGTAGACGCCTGGACCGATTTCATTATTAACATCTTCTACTCGCGGCTCGCGCGTGCGCGTTGCCGTGTGATAAAAATGGCCTGTGTTATTCCGCCCATCACCTAACCCTGTTCTAAATTTCATCACAATCCCGTTTTGACGTAAAGGAGTCGTAAAGAAACTTTCGCCTTTATTATATTAAAATAGGATATTGTTCACGCACATTAGAACAAGGACAGGGCCTTTAAGTGTAGGAGAGCCATGCTTCGGCACAAATGGGTCGGCTCGACCGGAGTGATACCACGGCCGAGCAGAAAACCGACGTGAAACATCGCTTGCGTTGTGTTTTGTCGTGTGAGTGAGGTTACCGGAAGCTCAATTACCTAGTATCCCGATTCCCCGAATCCTCCACAATCCTCAAATTCCCAATTCCCAAAAGGCCGGTAACGCACTTGTAACGCCTTGGTGTTTCGGTAACGAGTACCCAGGTGTATGGGCAGCGCCAATTGCTTACCGTCTGCTCGTTTTACTCCTATACCATAAAAAAAACAAATGCTCACCTTAGGGTCCTTATTAACCGAGCTTTAGTGGTGCACACTGAAACATCACAATTTTAACATTAAATATACAAGATCTTAAAAAAATATTATACGTTTTCATAGTAGGGGCTTATAGGAAATTAAATATTTTCCGCTTAGGACGCTGTTGCACATTGGTACGTCGTTTATAAAAGAAAGTGCAGAATCTTTGCGGTGGGCAAGTAGATTGAGGATCACAGTTTAAAAGATTGAAGATTTATCAGAGAGCGCTGCTGTCCAGTATGTTTAATGTGAAGTCCCATAGTCGGGTATACAACACCCGCGGGAGGAGCAGAGGTAATGATCAATGTATGCTACTCTATCATGATGTTGATATAAGTTCTATAGCACGTCACGTAAACCACTGCTTTACAGAAATGCAGCATAAAACAGGACTTTCGTTGTATTTCGCAGTGAGATAAACAGAGGCTCATCCCAAAGGTTGGCAACACACTTGTAACTCCGCTGGTGTTTTGAGTATGGGCCTTCGTTAAAGATTGCTTACCATCAGGTGATCCGTCCGTATGTATATAGTATGGTCATCAGGATTAACAGGTGTGTACCTAATATCAAATCGATTTCGATCATCTTGCGTTGTGTTTCGTCATGTGAGTGAGGTTACCGAAGGCCCAATTACCCTCCCCTTCCCCAATCTCCCCAATCCCTGAATCCCCAACGATTCTCAAACTCCTGATCCCCAAAAGGCCAGTAACGTACTTGTAACGTCTCTGGTGTTCCAGGTGTCCATGGGCGACAACGATTGCTTACCATCAGGTGATCCGTCTGCTCGTTTACCGGCTTATGCCATAAAAAAAGAACCGTTTAAAAAATGTAACTCACCGGGTCCTCACACGGGTCGAAATCAATCTGGAATACCATGACGTCACCGTCCACCATGATGTGGGTGATTTTTTCGACTGAGATACGGTGGTAGAAGTTGCAGAGATGTTTTCCATTTAGCGACACCTAGGGGGCATATGTGAAACTAGTATTGTGGTTCATTTATTTATTGTCAAAGTATATTTTATTAGCTTTTGCTAGCGGCTTCGGTAGTCTATGTGTTTCCAGATCGTACCCGCTGTTACAAATTTTATCTCGATCTTCTTCAGCCGTTTTTGCGTGAAAGTGTAACAAACACAGACACATACAAGCTTTCACTATTATAATATTAATAGGATTGTGTTTGAAAACGCATCCTAACCAAAAATCCTAGTATGGGGCAAGGTAAAAAAGACATAGAGATATAGGTAGGTACCTACAACTTACCTTATAAGAATGTTCATAACAATGGAAGAATACTTCAAAGGAGTCCCCACTGCTTAATGGCAGGTTCCCTTCAGATTCCGCATCGCCCCACTTGCCACCAGCGAAGTGGTTCCGTACTAAGGTCTTGCTATCGAAGAGAGGGTTAAAGTGGAAGGCTATATCTTCCTCAGGATACAGTTTCGGACCACATTGGAGGTTTATCGAGAACCTAGGAACAATTAAACGGTTTTTCAATTCCATAATGGAGGTAGTTGTGGAAACAATTAGATTATATTGTATGCTCATCAAGATTAAGACATAACACATAACATCACGCCTTTTATCCCCGAAGGAGTAGGCAGAGGTGCACAGTACGGCACTTAATGCTACTGTACAATGTAACACCCACTTTTCACTATTTATGTTATGAGTCCCATGTAATAGGGGGTGAGCTTATTGCCATTATACCGGGCACAATTCCAGACTCCGTGCTACTACTGAGAATTTTTAATAAATCCAGTAATACTTTGCCCGACCCGGGAATCGAACCCGAGACCCCTTGCCCCGCAGTCGCACTTGCGACCACTCGGCCTACGAGTCAGGCAAGATTAAGAGTGTGTACCAAATATCAGATCGATCTGTCATCAGGAAGGGGGTGACATTACAATGACTACAGACCCAGACAAACACACGGGGCAAGCTAAATGAAACCAATTAATAATTAAAAACAACTTTGTTCCACCTCTTGCTTCGAACCAGAGCCCAGGTTCTTACGCTTTCCTGCATCCCATTTACTATAGACCCGAAGTAGACATACTCAATCTTTTTTTATTAAGGCCAATAAACATTTCAGTCGTGAGATCCCGACTGGACTCACCTCTTTACTCCAACAGGGGTAGCTCCCCTCACTCTAATCCTGCGACCAGGGTGCATACCCTTCGGAATAGGAAGCACGCATGGTATTATCTGTAAAGACGAAAATATGGATTCAATGAATATTTTCTTTTTCTTTTTCGACGTCTTTGACTGGATTTGGGTGTTACATTGTTCTCGCTCAATCGAACCAATAATACTGTGTAACTGGAGAATTGTATTGTGAACATGATTGTAAAAGAGTAACCTATGGAGTTTCTTGCACGTTCTTCTCCATAGGAATCTACGCCTTGGAATGAGCAAATAGCATCACTTTTAAATTTCTATTGCTGACGTTCAAAAGTGCCTTCCTGGTCTAATTGAAATAAATAATTTTGACTTTCGACTTTGACTTTGTTTGTGAAATCCCCAAATCTCCGAGAGGCCGGCAACACATAGTTTTATGGAATAAATCCGCCACAACCTGAAGGCAATGCAACTTCTCTACACCAGAATTTACGGTAAATACAACCATGAATATATTGGAACTCTGAATTTCAGCGTCTCAGAGCCATGAACAACTGTCTTGGATCCCGCAACGAAATCAATCAGAAGATATAGAGAAGAAGAAAAGAATAGTTCCAATTTGCTTCGGTACCGAACTTGTAGCGCCTCTGTTCCATGGGCGGCGCTGATTGCTTACCATCAAGTGATCAGTCTCTACACCTCTGCCAATAGAATAAAAATAGACATACTTAAGTATTCCTAATTCCTTTTTTTTAAGGGGGGAATATCATCCAATGTCTTCTCCCGCCTTGGGTTGGCGAAAGGGAGTGTCAGACTCTTACTGACTAAAAACCACCCCGTTCCTACTCCTGCACTTCGAGCCGGAGATACATACATGCATAGGAAGTTAAATAATAGCTTGTAAAAATTAGCTTACCAGGTTCGAGTCGTGTGGCGGGCTACCTCCAGCGAACTCAAGCTCCTCTACAGTGATGTCACCATCTAACACGATGTGTGTGATCTTGCGGTACGAGATGCGGTGCTTGAATTCGCAGACAAATTTTCCGTTTATGTCCACCTAGTGGGGGAATTCGGAAAATTTGTTTTAAATGTAGAAAGAATGAATGAAGGTTTAAAATGCTATAATAAAATACCAAAAAGCAGATCTCAATGAAAGTAAATTTAAAACACCCATATATTAAGCGCGAATTATGTAATCAAGCTTAAAAAAAAAATAGTAGGTAATTTAATAATTTAATACTTTCATTTTAATGTAGACAATCTAGTTTCCTTATGGCATCGAGCATTTCTTTCTTTATTGAAACTAAGTTTCTTTTTTCTTATATAGAAGCACTATTTCTATGGATTTTAGTAAGTTATGTATAATTACACGCATTATACTAATGTGTAATGCGTCAAGCGTGTAAAAAGTCAAAGTACCCTTAACCGACGAGCATGCATGAAAAGATTGATGACTGTTGATGAAGCGAAAGAGGTATGTAGGAATCGTAGTAATTGGCGATCCATGTGTCTGCCTACCTCCGTGCGAAGTTTGTTTTTTACAATGGTTTTTGCAATGGTTCAGTTATTTTTTGTTTTAAATATTTTATTTGTTTGTAAAACTATTGTATTACCGAGACAGAACCATTTTACTTCGGGACGAAAACGAAATAGGTTTCAAGGTGTATATGTTACGTTTGTAGACGCAGGAGATAATTCTAAAGTGGACTAAAGTACTAATGAATTAATAGGTAGACAGACAGACTAGACGGACATATACTGACCAGATTGGCGATATATTAAAGAAGGGCTAAATTAAAAGTACCCTTAACCGACGAGCATGCATGAAAAGATTGAAGACTGTTGATGAAGCGAAAGAGGTATGTAAGAATCGTAGTAATTGGCGTTCCTTAGTATCTGCCTACCCCCATGGGAGACAGGCGTGAAGTTATGTATGTATGTAGGTAGACAGCAGACACTTACTTTAAAAAAGTTATAGTAGCAGTAGATAAGTGCTTCGAACGAATCACCAGCCTCGATTGGTAAGCTCTTGGTGATCTCCTCAACTCCCCACGTGTCTGAAGCGTAGTGGTTCCGAACCAGACACTTCTGGGTGAAGCGAGGGTTGAAATGGAAGGCGATGTCGTCACCAGGGTAGAGCTTCGGACCACATTGCAGGTTTATAGCGAAACTGTAGACAAAGATGGTGCTTTTTTATGATAGTCGCTTCTGCACGTGGATTCGCCCGTGTTCTAGTGAGATATAAACTACTAGCTTTTACCCGCGGCTTCGCTCGCATCACAAAAGGATAAAAAGTAGCCTATATGACATATACTAATACACACAGTAAAAAGTACCCTATTATTTAATCCGGTCTTCTAACTTTACGTCTGCAAAATTTCAAAGCAATCGGTTTAGTAGTTACGGCGTGAAAGCGGAACAAACAAACAAACTCACTTTCCGATTTATAATATTTTAAGTAAAGATGTGTTGTTCCAGACTATAATCTACACCAGTTCCAAATTTCATCTTGAACTCTTCAGCCGTTTGAAAGAAACATACAAATATGTAAACTTTCGATTTATAGTATTACTAGCGACCCGCCCATGTTTCACACGGGTGCAATATGCATGTATTATAGGTACATCTAAACCTTCCTTAAGAATCACTATTTATAAAAACCGCATCAAAATCCGTTGCGTAGTTTTAAAGATTTAAGCATACATAGGGACAGACAGACGGCGGATAGCGACTTTGTTTTATACTACGTAGTGATTATAAGGAGCATTATGAGCCAATACATGCTCCTCTGCCCACACCTTCGGCGATAAAGACGTGGCGGTATTAAAAAAGATTAGTAGGTATACATATAATACAATTTTCAATTAACCTTTTTGCGCAAGAGGGGGTTGCGCCCTTCACCCTGATGATGCGGCCGGGGTAGATTCCTGAAGGAATCTCGAACGCACCAGGGATTTTCTGGAAAAAGAAAAAAAATATTAACTTATTTTTGCTGCACACAGGTTGGCACGGTGGTTGGGCAACTGACCGTCCCAGGAACACGAACAACTGTCTTGGTTCCCGCAACGAAAGAAATCACAAGATATTAATTTGAGATGATGACAGGGTATGAAAATTAAAAATCTAATTAGTCTTTAGGTCTGGTTAGGTTCGGCAAGGAGCAAGGGGTCTCGGGTTCGATTCCCGGGTCGGGCAATACCTATTACTAGGATTTTTTTTTAATTCTCGGTAGTAGCACGGAGTCTGGAATTGTGCCTGGTATATAGCAATAGGCTGACCCCCTATAACATGGGACTCATAACATAAATAGTGAAAAGTGGGTGTTACATTGTACAGTGGCATCAAATGCCGTAATGTAAACCTCTGCCTACCCCTTTGGAAATAAAAAAAACCCAAAAACTAATAAATAAAAAGCAAAAAATAACTATTATTAGTACTGATAGGTTACACACCCATTAATAGGTTGGAAGTCGGCGGTATACAAATGGCGGAGTAATCAGCAAAAAAACAAAAAAAACAATCAGCCGAACATTTTGAAGTCGGTAAAAACAGTGATAAAGCTTCGTCAAAGTCAAAGTTAATGTATTTATTTCAATTAAACCATAATTTGGTACTATTAAAACGTCAACAAATACAAAATAAATAATAGACTGTCAGTCAGTCCGTCAGTAAAGCTACGTGAAGCTAGGTGCTCATTCCAAAATGTAGATTCGAATGGAGAAGAACGAGCAAGAAACTCCATTCGTTACTCTTTTAAAAAAGTATGTTCTACAATGTCTCTGATACATATTCCAATATTGTACGTATATTTGAGAACAATGCAAAGACACAACACCGGGTGAACAGTATCGGCCGAAAGTCCTTTGGAGCCTATTACTTGAAATAATACGAAGTACCTCAGAGCAAGACAATTTATTTACGTCAAAGCAGACAACCTAATGTTTTGCCGGTAACGAAACCATAGCTTGAATTTAAATCGGCCAACGCCATCTATCGAGCTATGGGACAACACAATAAATAGTAGTATGGCGTTGGCCGAGTGCATCTTTTAAACAGATTATTTCTACACTGAACATTCCGCCCACCAAAAGGAATATATTCCTTTTCGTACCGCCCACCATGCATAAACTTAACAACTAGGAGAACAGTGGACTGTATGACAATTATATTACTATATTACGAATAATACATCGAGATAGATCTAGTGGACGGCTTCTTTTAGCAGACATTGGCGCGGACAGATATGGTTCCAATCAAAATGAATAGATATAAGTACAAAAACATTAATCTGGGTGACGAAATTCTTGATACCGGCAAAAATATCAGGTTGACAAAATTCTGACAAAAACAATATAACTAAACTACTAACTAAACATTGTAATCAATACATGACAGTGCACAAGAGTAAGAGACATTGTTATTTCAACAGTGCAGTATAAGAAAATAACATAATAAAACCTTATCTAAAAACATACGCAACTTAACACGTTCGAGGACGCTACCACTTGAGTCGGGTTTTCAAAATGACACAGTACATGTCTATACAAAATTATACGACGTATCAGTACGTAGTGTCCCATGAAGAAATATCGTTTTAAACATATCATGACACAATCGTTTTATCACGTCAACGTGTATATGCATCTAGGTAAGGATCCGCCTCGTTGGAGATGTCGGAATCATCAAACATGCTTATCTTGTGTCTTATTTTGCGCTTATATCCATCTAAAACACACAATAACCCATTAAACATCAATTGCACACTGTAAAATCATTAATTTGCATTAAAGTAATGTACACAGTGACACAGCCGCGCTGAATGTAGGAGCGCGGGACGTATAAACACGTTGTGCGTATGTGAATACCGTAACCGCACACTATCAACGACACTTATTTTAAATAGTTCTAAACTTACCCTACGTGACAGTACAGAGTTGGGTATTTTATATGTTGTGACACAAGATACATTTAAAAGGATTTTTACTTGAACTTTCATCGGAAATAAACGTTCTGCCGTATAATTTAAATGTTATTTGAACGTCATCGTACGTTGTGCGATATTAAAATCTCGAACGATGACGTATAATCTCGTTCTGTCCTCGAACGTGTTAAACAATTAAATCTACAAGATTTTGTGCCTTATTCAGTAACAGGAAGAAAACACAATTTTGAAATTGGACGTTTAATCATAGAGCCCTTACAACGAACAGTGACAACTCGCGTCAAGCTATCTCTACCCGGATGCAGCTCAACAATTCTGCCATACAACCATTTAGCTGGAGGTAAGATATCTTCTTTTATTAAAACTACATCACCTATTTTACAGTCAGGTTTACGAACATTCCACTTATGCCTTTGAAAAAAGTTTGTTAAATACTCCTGTTTCCATCTACGCCAAAAGTGCTGCACCATACGCTGTACTAATTGCCATCTGCGTAAAGTGCTAACTGTGACACTTTCATAGTTGTAGTCAGGAACCATTACCAATGGATGATCCACCAAGAAATGACCCGGAGTCAGAGGTACAGGATCCTCTGGATCACTACTACCCTGAGACAGGGGCCTAGAGTTTAGGCATGCCTCGATTTGGGAAAGTACTGTGGACAGTTCTTCGAACGTCAAAGTGGAGTCACCTATCACACGCTTCAAGTGGTGTTTTACACTTTTCACCCCCTGCTTCCCACAACCCACCAAAATTAGGAGCGTGAGGAGGGATAAAATGCCATTCTGTTTGAGAGTTTGCAAGAGCAGCTGCAATGTCTTTGTACATCGAACTCGGTTGGTTGAAAAGCATCTGCAACTCTTTAGCAGCACCCACAAAATTTGTACCATTGTCGCTCCAGATATGACGACAGTGACCGCGCCTAGAAACGAACCGTTTGAACGCTGCCAGGAAACCCTCAGTCGTCAAATCTGAAACAACCTCTATGTGTACTGCGCGCGTAGCCATACATACGAACAAACAGATGTACCCCTTATACGACCGCTGTCCACGACCTTTGGAGACTCTAATGTGAATAGGGCCTGCATAATCGACACCGGAGTTCAGAAACGGCTTACTGGGAGTCACTCTGCAAACCGGAAGTTCTCCCATAAGCTGTTGATTCGTGGTTGCCGAGTATCGAATACAGCGAACACAACGACGTATATAAGCTCGTACAATATTTTTAACCCGACTGATCCAGTACTTGATGCGTATAAAATTAAGTACCAGTTGCTGTCCTCCATGAAAGGTCCTTTCATGAGCGTCGGCTACAATTAACTTAGCCAAACTTGAATCATGAGGAATAACAACTGGGTGCTTTGTATCATCAAGTAATGGTGAATACCGTAGCCTTCCTCCAACTCGCAATATCCCACATTGGTCGATAAATACATTCAACTTATATAAAGAACTCGACCTTTCCAATGGACTCTTATTTTTCAGGGCTGTCAATTCAGCCTGAAACCATTGCTGTTGGCTTTGTTTGATACATACATTCAACGCTTTGTGAATTTCGGAAGCTGACAGGTTTTCAAGGTCTCTACCAGAAGTTTCCTTCAACGTTTCCAAAATGGATGGTCTATTGCTTGTCCACTTTTGCAATTGGAACCCCGCTTTCTCTAATAGACAATTCATTTCATCATAAATTAGTTTTACTTCTGTTTCAGATTGACACCCAGTCATCAGATCGTCCATATAGAAGTCTGACTTCACCCTTTCAGCAGCCATTGGATACCTTTCGCCTTCATCGCTCGCAACTTGCTGCAACGACTTTACAGCCAAGTAAGGAGCGCATGACGTACCAAAGGTGACAGTCAGAAGTCGGTAATCCTCGATCTCTTTGTTTGGATTCTCTCTCCAAACAATTCTTTGATAATCTGTATCAGGTCGAGCGACCTTGATTTGGCGATACATTTTGACGATATCGGCAGCCAGACAGATCGGATGTTGACGCCATCTCATGACAATATGTCGCAAATCTGCCTGAAGAGTGGGTCCTACCATTAAGGTGTCATTTAAGGAAACCCCGTTCGTTCCCTTACATGACGCGTCATAAACCACTCTTACCTTAGTGGTTAATTTATCCTGTCTAACCACAGCGTGATGAGGCAAATAAACAGCATCATCTTATTTATTTCAGCCTTATCAACGATTTCTCCATATGACCGAGCAATAAATATTCTTTTATTACATCAGCATACTGTTGTTTTAATTCATCATCCCTACCCAGTTTCCTTTCTAAACCTAGCAATCTTTTTACAGCTATATTTTTAGAATTACCGTATTTACAAAGTGGATCTTCGGAACGAAAAGGTAATTTTACGACATATCTCCCATTGACATCTCTAACTGTCGATTGTTCGTAAAACTCTTCGCAGGCCTGTTCTTCAGGCGTGAGAAGCCTTTTCGTTATAGCAGGTTCGGAATCCAATTCCCATAAACGTTTTAACATATCATTCTCTTCTATTTGAGTGTACATCGTGATTATAGTATTATGAGAATTTAGAGAGCTATCTGCCTTACTGACATAGCCTGACACAATCCAACCTAAATGCGTGTCTTGTGCGACCGGAGAGCCTGTAGGACTCTTGATCAGACCTTCCTTTAAAATACGGCAGTATACTTCCCCCCCTAATAAAATATCAATTTTATTAGAACGACTGAAATTTGGGTCGGCTAGACGTATGCTGTGAATTTCTGGCCAATTGTCAAGGTTGACATTCTTATCTGGCATAACCGATGTCAGTGAACGTAGTACATGCGCAGTTACGTTTATGGTATAAGAGGAATCATGCAACGATTGAATATCAATATTCACTACATGTTTAGAAACGATCTTGCTATGCTCACCTCCTATACCTGCAATAGTAGTCTTTGAGACTACTCTCCTTAAACGAAGTAATTGCGCAGCTGACTCAGTTATAAAGGATGCTTGTGATCCTTGATCCAACAAAGCTCTCAAAACCTGAGAGGACCCATTTTGTGATTCGGCTTTAACCAAAGCCGTGGCTAACAAGACCTGACCCTGCGTTTGTTCATTCACAAAATGAGATGCTATACTTACCTTGACATCATGGACTGGCTCTGAAGTACATCCAAGTTCAGGGAGAATAGGTTCCCCTGACGCAGTAACCCCAATGGCTCCACTATGGTTCTTCGGATGTAGCAGCGTATGGTGTTTACGCTGACAAATACGGCATTTCGAAAAAACACGGCAGTATTTGGAAGTATGATTACTTCCCAAACAATTAAAACAGGCACCCAAAGATTGTGTTACGGCACGACGTCCGTCCACATCTAGTTGGCAAAACTTCTTACAATTTAAGAGTTTGTGACTCTCCGAACAGTGTGGACATAACATATTAGTCGTACCGTGCATGACCTTAGTGTGAGATGTAGGATGATGATCGACTTTTAATTTATTTTTAGGCTCAACGCATTCGAGAGCACGAAAACGTGTTTCCAAAAACTCGCAAAACTGTTTAAAGGAAGGTAGATCGTCGGATGATTTAGTGACATGCAGTTCCCACTGCTTCCTCGATTCTACGTCCAACTTTAAGCTTGCAACGTAAATAATAATTACATCCCAAGAACTTACATCGATCCCAATATTAGTAAGTTCGTGCAAACAGTCACTGGTCACATCTAGTAAATCTTTTAGTGCTTTTGATGATTCATTTCCAATATTACGTTGGCCAAATAATCTATTTAAAATATATGTGGATACAAATCTCTTGTTATTATACCTATGTTCTAACATTTCCCAGCATTTTTTATAGTTTAAATCAGTTATAGGTACATGTTTTATAAGCTGCTCCGCTTCACCTGACAGTTGAGTTTTTAAATAATGGAGACGTTGGACATCATCAAGTTTTTTATTGTTGTGTACTAATGACACGAACAAATCACGGAATGACGACCACTCTGTATATTTTCCGCTAAAAGTAGGTAAAACTATTTTTGGCAATCTTACCACACTGCTGTCAGATGAACCATCGCAACCTTCCTTCCTGAGCTGTGAACTTTTAATTGGGACAAAACATTTTTTAATTCTACCTTGTACATTAAATAACACTCATAAACCGTCTCATAGATATCTTCCTGGAAAAAGTCCTGTAATTCTTCACTTTCGCAATCACCTACGATGACTTCATATTTCGCAGAAAAATTCTTGAATTGGGTCTCTAACATCTCTAAACGTGCATCGACATAATTGTAGTTTATCCGATCTCTCGGGGACTTCTTGTAATTTATCCAGCCCTTTTCAATTTGTAATTTGATATCTTTCAGCTTTCTTAGTTCTTTCTCCATGTTGTTTGTATTCATGAAAATATTCTAAGTCCAGTGAAAGATAGATGAAAATTCTCTAAGTGTCGCTGACAGTTGACAATTGACAAATTTTCCAAGTCCAAACTATAGAGAATTTTTCTAAGTGTTTAATACTTGTAGATCGCTTCGAAATCGGGCATAGATTCGACGTCTGGTCGTTTTTCTCGAAACTATTCTAAGTCCCTGATCGAATGCACGCGAATTTTTCTAAGTCCCTAGTTTTAATGATTTGAATGTACTCACAGTTCTTTGTCCACAATTATGCACTTCACTTCACTACTACGAAGTTCACGATGATTCCCGATGTATGTCCTCGGCAGCTGAGCACGTAGTCTTCCACATGTAGTATTGTTAACCGACAACTATCACCATCTCGTATCAATTAGCACAACTATATTTAATTGTATGTGTTCTTCCATAAACACCCTTCGGCTCGACTGGACCATGAACAGTATCGGCCGAAAGTCCTTTGGAGCCTATTACTTGAAATAATACGAAGTACCTCAGAGCAAGACAATTTATTTACGTCAAAGCAGACAACCTAATGTTTTGCCGGTAACGAAACCATAGCTTGAATTTAAATCGGCCAACGCCATCTATCGAGCTATGGGACAACACAATAAATAGTAGTATGGCGTTGGCCGAGTGCATCTTTTAAACAGATTATTTCTACACTGAACACCGGGAAAGAAAGCATAGTTTTATACAAAGTACCTACTTCGGCTTCTGCATGGCCGTCGTCATACGTTAAGACATTTTCGAATTGAGGGTAAACTGAAATATTTTAATGCATTTTTGCTTTAATGATTCACGATTGGCAGGTTGCCTGCCTCGTTGGCCGAGCGGTCGCAAGTGTGGCAAGGGATCTCGGGTTCGATTCCTGGGGTCGGGCAAAGTATTACTGAGTTTTTCAAAAGATCTCAGTAGTAGCACGGAGTCTGGAACCGTACCCGGCAAATGGTAATAGGCTCACCCCCTATTACATGGGAGTCATAACGTAAATAGTGAAAAGTTAAACATTAGCGGCACTTAAACTGTCAAACACCGCGAGGACACCGGTGACTGCGCCTGAGCCTTTCTTTAATTGTGTCTATAATGACGGTACTCAAAGAGTTAATGCCACTGTAGGCACTGTAGGCACAGTGGCATTAAGTGCCGTAATGTACACCTCTGCCTGCCCGTTCGGGGATAAACGGTGTGATGTTATGTGATTGGTCGGTAGGACTAAAAAGATTAACGTTTTTCAGAGAGCCTGCCTCCCGGTGTCTGTGAAATGTATAGTCAGGTATACGACACCCGCCGAAAGAATAAAGGTGGTAAAATATATATGATACAGTTTCTCGCGGGTACTTGCAAACCGAATTGTCAAAAATATTTCTATATTTCTAAAGGTATAAATTGATGATAGAATTTTCGTTCGACGGTATTTATATTTTTATTGGGTCGACCTGTACTATACTACCTACGTCACAAAATTTAAGAATCTGAATTACACACTCTTCTAATTGAGTAGGTAATCAAAAATAAATTATTTCGACTGTTCCATACAATAAGATTTTAAAAAATAATCACACTTTCATTAATTATTTAACTACTAACTGAATTTTAGTATTTTTCCAGCAAATTTTTAACAAATAAGTATGCTGGTTGACGCTAAAAAAACGTGACGTCACAATACACAATCTCGTACAAAATTCATAGAAAACTATCGTTATCGTTATTGGCAGTTCGAAAAAAGTATTGAATTTGACTAGTTGGCAAGTACTCAATTGTTGTATCGTCATGAAACTTGAAAATAGGGTAGTTTCCAAAATTTTATGTTAATGTCTGTCTGGTAGATAAAAACATTAGACACGTACTTTTACTTTTCGTACAAAATTAAATACTTTTAACGATATATTAAACTGTCAAACACCCCGAGGACACCGGTGACCGCAACCTATTGTTCTTTAATTGTGTCTATAATGACGGTACTCAAAGGGAGCACAATTTAAAAGTCAAAATCCTTTGTTTCAATTAGACCAGGAAGGCACTTTTGAACGTCAAAATAAAATATTTAAATATTAAGTGTAATAAGAAAAAAATGTCAGTCTGTAGGTCAGTCCTCTAGTGAAGCTATATGCTTGTTCCAAAGTGTAGATTCCTATGAAGAATACCGAGGGAGAAACTCCATAGGTTACTCTTATTCAATCAGGTTCACAATACAATTCACTAGTTACATTCTTTCGTTGACTTTTGTCCGCTCCGGACCATATTTTTGATATTGTGTAATGCGGGTCACGCACATTTTTAATAGATACCACCGGGGCCCCGAACCAAATCGACGGTACCCAACCAACCACTCCTAAACTTCACGGCTTTAAATTTTATCCAAGTATTGTAACTTTATACGAGAAAATAAAACAATACGTGTCTAATATTTTTCCATTATCTACCTGACGTACTAATTCGATTTTTAATTTTTATACACTGGCAACTACCCTATTATATGTAAAATAGATGGTAATACAATATATGGTACCATCGAGCTGGTCTAATGAACGAATTGGAAGGTGGGCGATGGAGCCTTGGGCTACCTACTAGTAAACATATCGAGTTTGGCCCCATTGGATACAAGACAAGAACATAATACGATTAAATGCGTATTTTTGTCTACGAAATACATTCCGAATGGGGGGTAGACTATTCTATAAATAATAATCTGAACCAGATTCAAGTTACCTTCAAGAAAAGAGTGTAGGTACTCCTTTTTAAAAGGCCTGCAACGCATTTTTAACCTCGCTATTGTTGCCGGTGTCCATGGGCGGCGCTGATTGCTTACCATCAGGTGATCCGGCTGCTAGTTTCCCTTTATAAAAAGTGACGAGGAAAATCATCGAATGACTTTTCCGCCTAGGTGAGGCGGGAGGGAGTGTCAGACTCTTACTGACTAAAAACCACCCCGTTCCTACTCCTGCACTTCGAGCCGGAGCCCCGGTAACCCGTTAGGTTCTCCGCGGCTCCTTATCGGCCTTAGCCCCATCCGTGGTGGTCTGATGGATCTTTGAGGCGAGCGCGGAAGATGACGCGCCGTACGCTCGGGTCTGTTTCTGGTCATGCGGCAAGCCACCCATGCTCGCCGTCAGCAAGCCCGAAAAAGTGACGGTAGTGTTCCATTTTTATGTCCAAAATGATATAAAAAAAGTAATATAAAAATTCACTCACCGGATTGCAGATTGGACCCATTGTACCGGTGTTGTTTCTTATATCTCAAAGTAAATGACGATTGATTTCCGACCCCGCTCGGTTCAACTGTTGAACAAAAAATGCAGCTCTTTGCACATACCTTACCTACTTATATTGACTTATTTATTGGATGGGGTAGTTCCCAATTATTATAGACAAAATTACCTACTTTTTCGTAATGTTAAAACGATAACTTTAAATTATACGCGCCATGGGTTTTCATACAAACTTATAAGTAACTGCTGAATCCATTTTGAAACTTTGTACTCATTTGTAAAAAAGGATTTCATGTTCAGATAAGGATTGAGACAATTCATATTGCCATATCATCATCACATCAACAGCCTATAAATACCCACTGCTGAGCAAAGCCTCTTCTCACACGGAGAAGGTTTGAGCATTAATCACTACGCTTACTCAATGCGTGTTGGTGATTTCAAACTTATAATTATAAATTATAAGTCCAGGTTTCCTTACGATGTTTTCCTTCACCGTTTGTCAGTGGTGTCTAAATAATCTTAGAAAGTACATATGACTCGGAAAAAGTCACATTGGTACAAGTACCAATGGTTACGGCAAGCCGTTGGTAGGTTTCGAACCAGCACCCTCATGTATGAGAAATGCGTCATAAACCTCCGGGCCACCACGACGTATATTGCCATATATTATATACATATATCTAAACCTATACTTTGTATAAACTACATACTTACGTTTAATCTGTCAAACACCAAGCGGTCACCGGTGACCGCGACCTATTGTTCTTTAATTGTGTCTATAAAACCGGTACTCGACGAGATAAAATAACTGATTCAATCTAATTTTTTGTTGTCGGTCAATGTATTAAAACCCGCTTCTAAGTGTGACAAATATTTATTCTGAAAAGCGTTCAAGCGGTTCAGCCAATCGCGAGATAATCGTTGACACACATACATAGGTACCTATAGACCAAACTAAGAATCTCATTCTCTTTTTAAATCTGATAATTATGTAACCTATAACTTCTAACTTACAGAATTTTTCGAAAAACATTATAAGGACCTATTTTACGAACGCCAGTAAATGTTATCAGAGGAATAACTTAGAATATTTGATAATACTTCCGTACTAAAAACTGCCAAATGGCAATTTTATTCTGCAGTTAAGAATTACTTGATGATAGAAAAATCGGCCCTAAATTAACGTTTTGTCGGAACAAAGTTTCTTTAAACTCAATGCAGTAGTTTCGATGATTATTGACTTGAAAGTTTGTATGAAAACCCGTCTAGTAGGCACAACTATAATTTATATTTCACTTAAATTAAGGTAGAAAAATATTAATAGAATAATTATCAATTATGGAAAGTCTATTACTGTAAGGAACATATAATGCGTACTGTCTTTACCATAAGGGCACACGGAGCCCGTGCCCAGGACCCCATCTTCAAGAGCCAAGTATCGTAAAATGTGGTAAATAGGGATCAAGAGGTTAATAGGGACAAAAGAGGGGTAAATCGATACTATGAAGAATTGCCTTATATCTATTCACCCCTCTTTTGTCCCTTTTCGCCGCTCAAACCTTATTCACCTCATTTTACCGTTACTGACAATTTCTACGACGGACACAGACTGGTTACACGTTGGTTCGATTCCCACACGGATCAAATCTTTGTGTGATCCAGAAATAGTTGTTTCGCGTCTGTGTGTAATGTGTATGTGAACTTGTATGTTTGTAAACCTACACACGTCACAGGAGAAAAACCTGGCGTGGGGTAATGTTAAAAAAAGAAACATTCCACAAGGGTCCAAATTATTGCGTGCCCAAGGCCAGGTTTAGCTAAGACGGCCCTGCCTGTGTTATATTGATATACAATAAAAGTTCTGTTTTTTCAAATGAGCCGACGGATCACCTGACGGACGGATGGTAAGCAATCAGCGCCCATGGATACCCGGAACACTAGAGGCGTTACAAGTGCGTTGCCGGCCTTTTTGGGGCTTGGGGATTTGAGGATTGGAAATGAGGGAGGGAGAATTAGGCCCCTGGGAACGTCATTCACACGGTGTTAAACAAATTGTTTCACACCAGTAGGTACCTATACTGTGAATCTAAAAAATAAACAGTTTTTGCCAGCGGCTTCGCAGGCGTTTCTATTATATATATATTACACATGGTGTTTTCCAGACTATAATATCTGAACCAAACATAATACAACATCACGCCTTTTATCCACGAAGGCAGGGGTGCACATTACGGCACTAAATGAGACGGTACAATGTAAAGAAAGAAAGAAAAAACTTTATTTCACGCCAAAAAACAAGTGACATGTACAGATAAGTCATTGTATTAGTAGGTACTGATGGATACATGTTCATGCCCCAAGTCTGCCGCAAAACGGGACCAGTTCAGACCCTTAAGTGACTCGCGGACGAACAAGCCACCAATTAGTTTATTTGTTTATTTCCAATGCGTCACACAGTAACACTGTGAAATGATCTGTCGTCGGCGGTATTTGCGAACCGATACGACCTTCAAACCTTCAAGAAAATAGCGTATTCCTTTTTAAAAGGCCGGCTTTTTAACCTTTTGAACGCCAGAGCAAAAACGCATGAACTTGCCCTCAACGCCAGGCCACAAATTCACCGCATATACCTACGAAAAAAATAGGGATTCCAAAACTTCATCGATAATCAATTTTATTTTCATTTTCGTCTTTAATTTCGAAATATAATGTCCTTATAACATTGAAATTTAATTCAACATTACATTTCTTCCTATTAAAGTAATAGTTATACACTATTTACAGACTTGTATAATACCGTAATAACAGATATGAGACTACAATATATTTAAATATAATAACTGTAGGTACAACACTATTCTTGATCTGCTGTCTTCATATTGTGACCATGGCGTGGACGGCCCGCCATTTTAATAACTACTTCGCTTCCGAAATAGGGATGTGGCAACGTAATATCTCGTTTATCGATGTTCTAGTACAATATTATTTTATAATAAATGAAACACGTTTTTTAAATCAGATTTATAATTCCGAATGTAACAGGTACTTAAAAATATATGATTGAAATAGGTTAAGAAGGTAAATAAAAACTATGAAAAAATAGAAAATTTTAATAAAATGTTATACAGTATGTACTATGTATACATGTTTTTAAATATTAAGTTCTATAAACCTGGCATAAAAAGTAACAAATTAAAACAATTAACGATTATATATAATTATCACAATTACCAATCAGTCTTATACTAATAAATCTTTTGAATAATAGAACAAAATTATACAAAATCTACAATGTAACCTGCATTCTGATCATCTAATTCGCTGGGTGCAAAGTGGGTGGTGGGGACAGTGAAATCGATCTCAGCGCGCACCGTGGCTAAAAAAGGAACTTTTGGCAGACTTTATTCCACGAAGTTATAGGTAAATATGGAGCCCACACTTAGAATAAAAGTTTCGAGTCAAATACATATTAATATATTCTTCGTCATCTGAGACTCCTTCTAATATGCGAAGAAGTTCTTCCGTAGTCATTAAATTCCCACTCATTATAATAGTCACTTAATATAAATCTTGAACTCGATATCACAAGTAAATTAATCATAAATATTATTCATTCACTTCACTAATTTCTGGTCGCCGCGCTTGTGACGTCACGATATTGTCGTCTAGTCGTGACCATGGCGTACAGGGTACTGATAATTCGGGTTGCGTTAGGGATGCGCTTGAGTTGGGATTAGCGAATATCGAAATTCGACCCAACCAAATTTTATTTTTGACTATGTAGCTTATTGAATGATTTTTAAGACTGGTTTTATAAAATTAATGCTGCTTTATCCTAGTACCAAATTATACCTAAAATAATATATTCCAGAGGAAAGTTTCGAATCGATCTTTGATTTGAAATAATGATATTATCCAACATGCGCTACATCACTAGCGGTCACGCAGTTATGACTCTGGCGTGTGAGGACATTCTTTTTTCAGAGTTTATTTCTTTCTTTTTAACGTAAAATTTCTCAATATTTATAATGCAATTTAATTCGTTTTATGAAAATAAATAAATTTTGGACCTTCTATTTTACAGGTATATAAATAAATAGGCATTAAAGTAATGTTTAAATAGTTTTTTTCGTGTTTTAATGTACCGCTGTTTTTGTCACATATTTGTGTCGTTGGCGCTCAGGGACAGTTTTCGCTTGTCACGTATTTGTGACCCTGGCGCTCAAAAGGTTAAAATGCTCCTGTGTCTCTGAACTCTGATCGCTTACCATCAGGTGATGCGTCTGCTCGTTTGCCTCCTATTCTATAAAAAAATAGGTTTTGTTTTCCAGTTATTCATGTAATATCAGGCTTGAGCACTTAATTACAACTATTGTTACATACATATAATAAATCTGTAGAAGTGTTAATTTAAGATACTTAGCATATTTAGATTTTAGACAAGGTAATTGTAAGTCACGGGGTGACATTATCACTGTGTGATTAAATCTCATAAATAAATAGAGTTAAAAAAAAAGTGTTAATTCTGTACCTACATTGGAAATATTAAAAAAATAGATTAAAATATTTTTGAGTCTGTGTATGTTCACACACCACACAAAAACTACCAGTCCGATTACAATAAAACTTGGTATGATTATACTTTAATACCCTAGGCACAACACTGGGTATTTTGTATCCCAAAAAAGTATATACACAAAAAAACAAACTTAATTGTGCGGCTTAATCCCTAGCGAAAGATAATGTACCAAACGCAAATATAAGTTTGTCGAATGTTAGGTTATGAATGCGGGCGAAATCGCTGGCAAAATCTAAGTTTTTGCATAAAAGAAGTATTTAATTCCTTACTTTTATTAAAATAAAACTTGTTTTTTACAATCACCTGTCGGTGTTTTTCAGGTATTTCGTTTCAATGAATAATTCTTGTTTTAATTTATGACTACCTACCAAAATCCAATATATTTTAACTCGAGTCACCAACTAGATACCCACTCCATTTCA